TAATCAAGTATTATACTCGGCCAGTATCAGTATATAAATTTATATGCACAATGCGTGCATGAATTATGTTACTAGAATGTTTATTTGAAATGTGCTTATTTCATAAATGCTGTTAACAGTAATACGGGTGTCTTAGGCTTCGTTTACAAAATATTTTTATACGCCAATATATAAAATAATATATAGGGAATAAAGGAGAAAGTAGAACAAAAAATAAGACCGTCCTCTGAATCTCTTGGAAGGTAAACATGGATCCTTAGACGCCGCCTTACCGAGACGCACAGTGTTGAAGCTATAATTTTGAAATCGGAAAAAATATACATTTGAAATCAAGATATTGACTTTATGTATTGGAATGTTCGCCCTTACTGGAAAGAAATGAAAATTTTCTTAACCACTGATTTTTTTGAAACTTTTATTGCACTTTTGGGTACAAATTCAATTTTACATGGATCGGCTCTATTGAAAAAAATTTTGTTGTCCCCTTTTAGTGAAAAATTGGTTTGAATATTCAAGGTAAATCTGCATAAAAAAACCCTGAATCAGTTTTACTTCAACACGCACTGAAACTAGTCGAGATTGACAATGATGTTTGCATACGGTGATTTAGGAGAGTATCATCCAGTTTCATTAGTGGTGTAGAAATCATGTATCTTGGATCTACTTTCTGCTCATACAGATATCACCACTGTATTTTGAATCACACCTTTTATGCCGTAATCATATGCTCATCTATAATCCTGTTCATACAGCAATCGCCAACCTGTCACGGCCGGATCCCAGACACAGTCACCGACGGGTGACCGACCACTGTACGAAAAATCCTATAATCTACTTGTGTAGTGATGACTAATATCTCGCTTTTAAGAGTGGTACCACTATTTTATCTTCGTTGTGAATGTCCCAAATATAGTTCAATCACTGAGCTTATAGCTACTATCTGCGCCAGGATGATTCAACACATGCTTATTTAACTCCCATTTAAGGGTAGTTTTGTAAGTGCAATGTGCGCATTCATGTATTTTACTGGAAATTGATGTAATATACTCAGGATGTTTCTCAATTATATGATTATCTAAAGATGTCTTATATTTGAATGTCGCATTACAGTGAATACACGTTTCAAGTTGATAGCCACCTTCTGCCTCTGGATGCTTCCACATATGTCTCGAAAAATGATCCTTAGATGTGGTTTTAAATTCACAATATTCACATGCACGTATTTTATTTGAAACTGTTGCAATATCCTCCGGATGTTTCTGAACTATATGATAGTCTAAAGCTGTCTTACGTTTGAATGTAATGTTACAGTGATTACATGTATGCAGCTCACAGGCATCTTTTGCCCCATGACATTTCAATATATGTTTAGCTAAATTACTTTTTTTGATAGTTTTAAATACACAGTATCTACATTCATGTATGTCATTTGAAACTGACACTGCCATATACTCAGGATGTATCCTAATTGTGTGATCATCTAAATTTACTTTACTTGTGAATGTCGCGTTACAGTGAATACACGTTTTACGTTCAGAGTCAACTTCTGCCCCAGGATGCTTCCCCATCATATGACTAACTAAGTGACCTTTTATGGCAGTTTTAAATACACAATATTTACATTCATGTATTTTACTGGAAATTGATGCAATATACTCAGGATGATCCTTAATTATGTGATTGTTTAAGGCTACCTTACGTGTGAACGCTGCATTACAGTGAACACATCTTTTAAGTTTATAGGCTCCTTCTGTTCCACGATGTTTCAGCATATGTTGAACTAGACTTTCCTTAATGGTAGTTCTATATGTACAATGTGCACATGCATGTATTTTACTAGAAACCGCAACAACAAATTCGGGATGTTCCTTAATTATATGGTCATCTAAACTAATCTTATCTTTGAACTTTCCATCACAGTGAATACACGTTTTGAGCTCACCTCCATTTTCCTCCCCATGATATTTCATATGTTTAGCTAAATGACTTTTTTTAGTGGTTATAAATGCACAGTATTTACATTTATGTATTTTATTTGAAACTGATGCAGCATACTCAGGATGTTTCTTAACCATGTGATTGTCTAAATTTACCTTACTTGCGAATGACGCGTTACAGTGAATACACGTTTTACGTTCAAAATCGACATCTGCCCCTGGATGCTTCCCAAGCATATGACTAACTAAATTACTTTTTACGGCAGTTTTAAACATACAGTATTTACATTCATGTATTTTACCTGAAATCGACGCAATATACTCGGGATGTTTCTTAATTATATGATTATTTAAGGCCATAGAACGTTTAAACAACTCATTACAGTGAACACATTTTTTAAGCCTATCTTCTGCCCCAGAATGTTGCAGCAGATGTCGAGCTAAACATTCTTTCCTGGTAGTTTTATATGAACAATATGCACATGAATGCACGTTACTAGAAACATCATTGACAAAATCAGAATGTTTCCACATATGCCTAGCAAACTTATCTTTGAAAGCAGTTTTATACATGCAATATATGCACTCATGGACTTTACTTGAAACTGATGGAATATACCCAGGATGTTTCTTGATTATATGATCATCTAAAGTTGTCTTACGCCTGAACATCTCATTACAGTGAACACACTGTAAAAGTTTATAGTCTCTTTCTGCCTCGGGATGTTTCAACAGATGTCGAGCTAAACTTTCTTTCCTGGTGGTTTTATAAGTACAATGTTCACATGAATGTATTTTACTAGAAACCTCAGCACTAACACCAGGATGTTTCTTAATTATATGGTCATCTAAATTTCTCTTACATTTGAATTTTGTGTTACAGTAAATACATGTTTTAAGTGCACAGGTATCTTCAACCTCTGGATGCTTCCCCATATGTCTATCTATATTGCATTTTGCAGTGGTTTTATATACACAATATTTGCATTCATATATTTTACTTGAAACAAATGCAATATACTCAGGATGTTTCTTAATTATATGGTCATCCAAAGATGTCTTATGTCTGAACTCCACATTACAGTGAAAACATTTTTTATGCTTATAGTCACCTTCTGCTCCAGGATGTTTCAGCATATGTTGAAGTAAGTTTTCTTTTTTGGTAGTTTTATATGTACAATGTGCACATGCATGTATCTTACTAGAAACCTCAGCAATAAAGTCAGGATGTCTCCTGATGATATGATCATCTAAACTTCTTTTCGTTCCAAATGTTACATTACAGTGACTACATATAATGAGCTTATGACTTCCTTCTTGTTGCAAAACATGATCATCCTCATTTTTTATCGAGTATTTCCCAATGATGTCTGTAATTCGACAGGCCCCAATGTCCAAACCGTTTTCTATCTTCAGTTCCTCAACATCCTCACATTTTATCAAGAGTTTTGTGGAAACATGTCCAGTTTTTGTGCTAAAATATAATATAAACTGCAACGACGTTCTTGCGAGGAAGTGTTCTTCAATTTAAGCAATAGTTTTATGGTAAATTGTTAAACGGGCAAAAGTCAATTTTTTCATGTACCTAAAATAAACTTGCAGCTTTTTTACCAAAGCTAGACAAATCTTATCATGACCTCAATCTTTGTTGTGGTTTTGATGCCCTTTTCTTCATATATCTACTTATACAATTTTACTTAATTGTTCTTATATCAATGAATATGAAAAAATCTCATAGGTCAAAAAAATTGACTTATGCCTTTTTAGCTTTTTGTCACAGAAGTATAAAATGCTGCCCATGCATAACAAAAAAGCTAAAGAGTAAAATAAGGTAAAACTTTTGAGACGCATATTGTCAACCTTGTCCAACTTGAAATTCGATTATATGTAATGGCAATACTAACTTATCTGAAACCCTTATCGAAATGCATCTATGCTACAAAAGGCCAACTTGAAATTCTTTTGAAATTAATTTTGTTCGTATTATGTAAATGAGAAATTGGTTCCATATATGAATGTAGGTAGTACTTTTAAAATTGAAAATATGATATTCCTATGCAAAACCTCTGGGGTGGCCAATTTTATATATTTTCAGCACATTAATTTATTTTTGAATTCTCTTGATTGATGGTTGCTGCCCCTAAACTTTGTAATGTATAGGATCTAAAATGTGATATCAAGGAATATTCACCTGTTTAAAACAATTTCAGTGCCTTCATTTATGAAACTTTGCCCATCATTCTCTTCCTTAATAGTCAGCTGGTCAGAATTTTCTGCAACTTCATATTTTTTATCTACATCCTTTTGAAACTTTTTTTTATTGTGCCTTTTGAGAACTCCCTTATTAGAATCTTCAAACGTGATGAAAGTATGATCAAAATTTGCTATTTTATCAGGTGCATTATAGGCTCTAAAATATTTTAGATAATAAATAATTTTCACAAATCAACTGATTTTGAAGCATCACCTATCTGAAACAGCATCTGTATCGAGGCCTGTGTTAAAGCATCGACCATACTCATCTTTAATAAATACATGAGTGACTTCAGATTTATTATTTCTGTCCAAGTTATTTTCCACCTTTATATTTTCTTCTTGCATCGCAGAAACAGCCTCTTTTTCCTTTCAATATGATCATGGGGACTTGGACGAAATCAAAACAAAACACTGCTAATCTAGTGACAAGTGACGGCGAAACTGACAACGAGGTGAACGACTCTGGGAGAGAAAAAGCAGTGTTGCCAGGTATGGTGAAAGTCTCGCTATTTTCCGAAAGTGGAAAATTCATAAGCCGACTCGATCCAACCAGATAGGCAGTCCCTGTGCGCCTTGCACGTATAAGGCCCCCAAAAAGAAGGAATGTCTTAGAAATCGAGACTCTGTGTCCCGATTGTCAAATAAACAACCAACTGGTTCTGGGCCTCCGCGAGGGCCTGGCTTCAGGTGTCACGAAGATAGGAGGAACATTTGCCAGACCAATATCGTAAAAAAAGCCATAAAAACACAGGTGACAGAGGAAAAAAGAAAATATAACATCAGATTACAACATGTATTAGCAAAAGTGTTTTATTGTTATTTAAAGGTTATATAAAAATAGTATCTACATATAAGGCATACCGACAAGCTATAGATAACTAATCAATAGGGGCGTTCAACCAATACAAACTAATCCAGCAGCGAACCGCTTTTATGATAAATATCGGTAGCCATTATATAGTTTTGACAGACAGCAGTTTTCACTTGGCTGTCAGATAGATGATTAAATATTGCGAACTAGCAAAGCTATTCCACGGCTATATTCAGCATAAAAGCGCGGCACCGCTGTACGTTGGCTAAACGCGCTCATCAAGATATCGTATAAATTTATAATTATCACCGATTCCATCCCTTTTTGGTGCCTCTCTAATGCCTATGTTGGCATTAGAGAGGAACAAATAAGGGATCTGAAACATCATCGCGCCATCTATGAAACAGTAGCAGAGCCAAACACTAACTCTTTTTAGGCATTTTTCTTGTTAATCAACCCTTAGATTTTACAGGGTGTCGCATACGACGAAAAGCTAATTTCTGGCCTCAATATCTCGAAAAAAAAAGTTGAATGCAGGCATGGACGCCAACACGTAAAAAAATGTCTAAAATCATGAGAATCTCGAAATACAAAAAAAAGTTTTTGGTCTGGTTTCACTTTGGGCTACCCTGTATATGAGAAAATGTTTTTTATTTATAATTTAACTTTTTTCAATTTCTTATAATAAGGAATCTATGGTACTCTGTGAGTCTAGGTGTCTTCAAACTTTTAAATTCACTTTCCTCAAAAGTTTCTTTTTGTGACATTCATCTTTTTCCACTGTACCTTTCATATGTTTAGTTAAACGACTTTTTTTGAAATTTGAAACACTATATTTACATTCATTTATTTGAAAATATTATAAACCCTATCTATAATAATAGTAAACCATCAGGTTTTGACGTCTACCGAGGTGAACAATAAGGATTTTTTCGCGAGTCCACGGTGTAGCAAAGTGCATTACCGGGAACCGATACTCAAATTTTCACGAAGAACGGGAATCGGCGAAGGCGTGAAAACCTGCAGAAGTGCGTCCATGTACTTTTCAGGGTTCAAAGTACCCAACAAGAGCTATTATAATCATTTTTCAAAATCTTGTTACAAACGGTCTAAATTGCAGGGAATATCGCGCACCATACCCGACAAACTTCTTTCTTTGGAGCTGGGGTGTAAGACCGTTTGCAACAACATTTTGATAACTGATTATAATAGCTCTTGTTGTGTACTTTAAACCCTAAAAAGCACATCGACGCACTTATGCAGGTTTTCACGAAAAAAAAAATACACGACAGGCCTGTTTGTTATGAGTTGAGGTGTACGACTAGCTTTAGATACGAACCTACAAACTCTGCAGAACCAGTTAATGCAATACCGCTCCTTTCACATTGCACGATTTCGCTCGTACGGGAAAAAATCGCCCGATTTTTAATCGTGGCACGACTGAAACCGTGTAGTGTGAAAGCGTACATTTGGTCACGTAGACCACTGAGCTAGAGGGCGATACGGTAGCCGTACGGTTCGCAGGCGGACAGCATTTATTCGGTCCGCTGCAATCTAGCGACGGGTAGAATTGTGGAGCCAGTTTTTGGAGCTACCTTCGCACGTAACGTGAAAAATACATTACTCGGGATATTTTCTGATTACAGCAAACGCTCGATAACGTAAACACGGGATAATGAAAACTTGCGCTAATGTAAACACAAACTTCGTTCTATTGGATCAAACGGAACGCGCGATAACGTAAACAACTCTCGGCGCACGGAAACAGCGCGACGGTAAAATGCTGAAGCCTCGATGATTTATGTCGGGCGTCGGGGAGTCCCCGATTTATGATGTAGAGTGTAGGGGTTTCACCTCTGCGATAAAATACGCCAAACTCGGTCAGTCGTATGATCGTTTAGGATACGTTTATACGTACGTATGTATTTCATTTTTGAACTTAAGTGAATACATTGCACGCGTTAATATATTTTACGACTATCGCATCCACATCCTATAAAAGAAAGTGTTTCAAGTTGAGTGAGAAAGTGAAAATCATAGACGAAGTTGCACTAGATGCGGGAGTGACACAGTTAGCAAAAAAATATGGAGTATCGAAAGCAACAATCTGTAAAATTAAGCGTATGAAAACTAAAATTTTACAAAGAACGTACAATACATTTGGAGGTCCGGGAAAAAGAAAAACTTTAAAAAATGCGAAGGCACCTAAAATGGAAAATTCCCTGTATAAGTGGTTTTTAAAACAACGGGAAAATCATGTCCAAGTTAGTGGCGAAGTACTTAAACAGAGAGCGAGACTGTTAAATGAAAAACTGAAAGAAACTGAAAATTTCGTAGCTAGTGATTGCTGGCTACAACGTTTCAAAACAAGATATGGAATTCGACTGCTGTCTATATCTGGTGAAAAATTATCAGCACAACCACAATTAGTGCAACCATTCAAAGAAAAATTGATGAAAACAATTACCGAACTAGATTTAAGAATGGAACAAATTTACAACGCAGATGAAAGTGGCCTTTATTGGAAAATGTTACCAGAGAAAACCTATGCTGCATCATTTGAAAAATCTGCCCCGGGAAGAAAGCCGGAGAAACAACGAATAACGTTTCTAGCCTGCACTAATGCTAATGGTTCACACAAAATAAAGCCACTGGTAATTGGGAAAGCAAAAAATCCGCGCTCATTTAATATCCCTGTTGATTATGACTGTTCAAAAACCGCTTGGATGACTAGCAGTATATTCCTGAAATGGTTCCACAGGTGCTTTGTCCCTCAGGTATGACAATCAATTATCACAAATGCTCTATTCATAATTTGAAGATGTTGGTTCAATTTGTATGTAAAAGGTTTCCTAAAACAACAGAAGCTTCCAATAAAAGTGTTGTTACTATTGGATAATGCACCAAGTCATCCTCCCGAGCAACAACTGAGGTGCAGGGATGGGTCAATTTTCGTCATGTAACACCGTTAATTCAACCGATGGACCAGAATATAATAAAACTCATCAAACTATACTATAGGAAGTTTCTACTTTCGTCTGTCTTATCAAAGAATCCTGAAAACTTATCTGAGGCTTTAAAAAAAGTAACATTACGAGAAGCTGTTTTAGATTTACATATGGCCTGGAATGAACTTAACCAGCAAACTATTCAAAAATGTTGGAACAATCTCTTTTGTGCCAATAATGAAGATGATGAAGAAGACGATGTCCCCTTAAGCGTAATTAGAGAACGTTTGCGATCCAATAATGATAATGTGATTAGTGTGTCGTTGGATATTGTTGATTTATTGAAAACAGTGAATCCCAACATTGTTTGTACTCCTGCTGATATTAATTTATGGAACGAAGATAAGCAGACGAATGATGCTCTTAAGGAGGATATGGACAGTGAGGATGATGAGAACGATCCCATTGAAGTCGGAAGTGTAGTGACTGACGCGCAAGCTATACAAGTTTTTAACCAAGCTTTAGATTGTGCTGAAAGAAAAGAAGTTTCATACAAGGATATTTTAGTTCTTCGTAAATTACGGGCGCAGGCATTGGAAGACAATGCTAAGCGCAAATTTACGCAGACAAAAATTGTTAATTATTTTTCTTCTAATTAAAAAAATACTTATCGCTGTTAGAATATTTGTTTATTTTGTTACAAATAGTATGTATTAAACGTTTCTTTTAATAAATCAAATATTATATAAATCACGTTCGCTAATGTAAACATTTCGATAATGTGAACCACACTTGGATTAAATTAGTTTACATTATCGAGCGTCTGCTGTATATGATTATTTATATTTACCTTACTTGTCGCATTTCAGTGGAGCAGACGTTTCACGTTCACAGCCAACTTCTGCTACTGGATGCATCTTCACCATATGACTAACTAAACGACTTTTAATCACATTTTTAAATACACAATGTTTACATTCGTATATTTTACTTGAAATCGATGCAATATACTCGGCATGTTTGTTAATTATATGATTGTTTAAGGCTTCCTTACGTGTGAACGCACCGTCACAGTAAACACATTTTTTAAGATTACAGTCTGCCCCTTTTTCCCCACCATATTTCAGTATATGTCGGTCTAATCTTCCTTTTATAGTAGTTCTATATGTACAATGTGCACATGCATGCATTTCACTATACTGCAACTATTTAAAACTGTAATGACTCATACGCGTGATCAACACGTGATCAGAGCTCGATCCCGGCTTCCTTCCAGTACAGCCGTATAGCGTACGACATATGTCGTTTCTGAGGCTTTGCGGTGGTCAACAGCACAGACAGAGATGGAAATAATGGCTGATTGTTCTCCGCCGGTAGAACCAATGAAATCACAGACGCGCCTCGACCGGCAGACTCATAGGCGTCGGCAACGCATTGGAACGTGTTTCGTTGAGCGATCGCATATTGTGTGTTTTTATAAGAATTGTTGTGTGATTGTTATTGTTGTGGTTTCTGTGGTTACGGTTTTGGTTATATTTACTTAACCATGGAGAGTACAAATGGCACGAGTGGAAGTACTGAAAGCCAGGGAACAAGTAGACGGCTTCGTAAAGCACTGAAGAGGGACGCGAAGGAAATCGTGCTCAACGTGTTCAATTATCTGAACAGAACTATGTCGCAGGGAGATGCACTCGCGCGTTGTGAAATGCATGAAAAGAAGAAAACTGGAGCTACTACTGATCCAAAGTTTAATTTGAAGGGACGAACGGCCATTAAAATGGATGACGATAGCAAAATGGCGTTAAGGCGAACCGTACATTCATTCTTCTTTAGGAATGAGAGACCAACCCTCAAGGCTGTACATGCAGCGATCAAGGAAAATGAAATTATAGCCCAAATGAGCGTCGAGGTAATGAGGAAATCCCTGCACGAAATTAATTTTCGTTACGAAACGCGTAATCGGAAGTCAGTATTGATAGAGAGACCTGAAATAGTCGCCTGGCGTCGAAAATACCTACGCGAAATGATTGAATATAGGCGACAAAGCAGAAAAATCTATTATTTGCACGAGACATGGGTAAATGCAGGTCACACAGTTGAAAAAACCTGGATAGACAAAAACGTAGTGAGTAACCGACAAGCAAGCATTGAAGGTTTGTCAACAGGTCTTCGTGGACCGTCAAGGAAAGGTCAAAGATTGATCGTAACTCATATTGGTAGCGATAGTGGCTTTTTAGAAGAGTGTGACTTGATTTTCGTCTCTAAGAAAGGAGGTGATTACCATGACGAAATGAATGCCAGCTGCTTCGAGAGCTGGTTTCAAGGGGTGCTTCAGCGAGTTGAGCCGAACTCTGTGATCGTCATGGATAATGCTTCCTACCATAGTCGTCGAGCCGAACGTGTACCGACTATGGGATCTCGAAAAAGTGACATGCAGCAATGGTTGCGCGAAAAAGGAATCCCACAACCTTCAAATTACCAGACGTTAAGGTTTTACTTGAGACTTCCATACAGCTAGTAACGCCCGAAGCTTGGCAGAATGCTATCCGTCATGTTGTGAAGGAAGAAACAAAAATGTGGCAGCTTGACCACCACATCGACACCATCATAGAGCCAGTTATAGTCAATTTCAACGAGGAAAGCGATAGTTTATTACTGTCAGATGTAAGTGGAAGCGACGATGAATAAAGGTAATTCCCAAATTTTTGACTTACAATATGTTTCAAACCACTCTTTATTAAGCATGTGACAAATCTAGTTCACCCATGTTAAACATTGATACCCCGCCTATGAACAGCCGACTACTGGTAGTTAAGTGATGTTCACGTGAACATCGATGAGTCATTACAGTTTTAGATAGTTATAGTATAGAAACCTCAGTATGTTTGTTAATTGTATGGTCATCCAAGCTTTTCTTACATTCAGCTTCTACTCCTGAATGCTTCCGCATATGGCTAATGAAATGACTCTTTAAGGCAGTTTTAAATTCACAATATTTACATTCATGTATTTCACTTGCAACCAATGCAGTATGCTCAGGATGCTTTTTGATAATATGATCATCTAAATATTCCGTACGTTTAAATTTCACATTACAATGAACGCACGTTTTAGGCTCGCTTTCACTTTCTGCCCCATGATTTTTCATATGTCTAGCTAAGTGACTTTTTTTGGTAGTTTTAAATAGACAGTGTTTACATTTATGTATTTTAGTTGAAATTGTTGCAATATACTCGGGATGTTTCTTAATCATATGATCATCTAAATTTACCTTAGTTGTGTATGTAGCGTTACAGTGAACACACTTTTTCGGTTCACAGTCAACTGCCTCGGGATGTTTGCCCATATGACTAGCTAAACTACCCTTTAAGGTCGTTTTAAACGTGCAAAATTTACATTCATGTATTTTGCTTAAAACCGATGCAATATACTCAGGATGCCTCTTAATTGTATGATCATCTAAACTTCTCTGGCATCTAAATGTTGCGTTACAGTGAATACACGGTTTACTCTCACAGACATCTACTCCTGGGTGTAGCCCCATCACATGACTAACTAAATTACCTTTTATGGCAGTTTTAAATACACAATATTTGCATTCATGTATTTTGCTTGAGACCCATGCAATATACTCGGGATGTTTTTCAATTACATGATCGTCTAAAGATATCTTATTTTTGAACATTGCGTCACAGCCAGTGCACGTTTTGAGCTGACAACCATCTTCTGCCTCTGGATGCTTTCCCATATGTGCAGCTAAACCATTTTTCAAAGCCGTTTTAAATTCGCAATATTTACATTCATATATTTTACTTGAAACCGTTGTACTATGCTCAGGATGCTTCTTCATTATATGGTCATCTAAATATATGTCACATTTAAATTTCGCATTGCAATGAGCGCAGATTTTAAGCTTGCGGCCACCATGACACTTGATATGTTTAGCAAAATGAGTTTTTCTGGTAGTTTTAAATGCACATTGTTTACATTTATGTATTTTATTTGAAACCGATGCAATATACTCGGGATGTTTCTTAATTATATGATCATCTAAACTTGCCTTAGTTGAGAATGTTGTGTTGCAGTGAATACATGATTTATGCTCAAGGCCACCCTTTGCCCCTGGGTGCGTCCCCATATGTCTAGCAAAAGAAACACTAAAGGTGGTTTTATATGCGCAATATTCACATTCATAAATTTTCCTTGAAACTGATGCTGTATACTCGGGATGTTTCTTAATTATATGGTCATCTATACTTTTCTTACATATGAACATTGCGTCACAGTGAACACACGGATTAAGACGCGGTTTACGTTCAAAGCCAACTTCAGCCTCTGGATGCTGCGCAATCATATGACTATCTAAATGACCTTTTACGGCAGATTTAAACTCACAGTACTTACATTCATGTATTTTACCTGGAATTGACGCAATATACTCAGGATGTTTCTTAATTATATGATTAGTTAAGGTTGTCTTACGTCTGAACGACTCATCACAGTGAACACATTTTTTAAGCACGCCTCTACCTTTTATCCTTGAATGTTTTCCCATATGTCTATTAATATTCCATTTTGAGATGGTTTTAAACATACAATATTTACTTTTACTAGAAACCTGATCAACAAAATCAGGATGGTTCAACATATGCTTTGCGAAGTTATCTTTCAAGGTAGTTTTATACATGCAATATACACATTCATGGACTTTACTTGAAACTGATAAAATATACCCAGGATGTTTCTTAATTACATGATCATCTAAATGTATCTTATTTTTGAATGTCACCTTACAGTGAATACACGTTTCTTCTGACCCAGAATGTTTCAGCATATGCTGAACCAAGTTTTCTTTAATCGACGCTTCATATGTACAATGTGCACATGCAAATACATTACTAGAAACCTCATCAGTAAAGCCAGGACAGTTCCCGATGAAACCATCTTCTAAACTTCTTTTTGTGTGTTTCAAGATATCATCCTCATTTTTAATCAAGCATTCCTCAGTGATTTCTGTAATTTCACAGGCCACGCCATATTCTAACTTCAATTCAACAGCTTCACGCTTTATCCAGGGTTTTGTGAAACCATGCTGAGTTGCTGTTATAAAATAACATAAACTGCAACGGTATTCTGGTGAGAAAGAGCTCATAAATTTGAGCAATAATGCATTAAATGTATGACAAAAAGCTAGATTTAAATAAGGTGAAGTATTTTGAATGAACATTTTTAAGGGTTCCCATATCCATCAAACCATTAAGCTGCACTTATGACAACTTGAAAGTTAATAAGCTGAATTTGCACAACAGTCAATCAATTCATCTGAAAAGGATTTTTTTGCATTTATATCTAACTATGCCATCAGGTGTTTAGTGTATGCCATATTTTTGGATCTTTTATCTCTCTCTTGATATAACTACTATTTGATACAGCTGTATAGCATTAATATTACAAAATATTATCTCATACTTCATATGCCAAATTTATAATTTAATTTAGTTTTGAATTTTCCTGGTACTCCTCGACTAAGGAAGACAATGTAAATGACCAATACCTAAAATCTGATATAAGCAATAATCACCTGTTTAAAATGATTCCTGTGTTTTCATTTTGTTCATAATCTTCACTTTTTATTGCCAGTTGGTCAGAACTTTCTGTTACTGGGTGTTTGTTATTATCTACATCCTTTTCCAACTGTATTCCTTCATCTGGCATTCCAAGAACTCTCTCACAAGTCCCTTCAAATCTCATGAAAGTATGATCAGAATTTATTTCACATGAATTACTGATTCTAAAACATTCGCGATGAATAACAATTTTTAAAAAAACATCAGATTTTGAAGAATCACCTATCCGAAACGGTGTTTGCAACATCCATATCAAAACCCGGGTCAATACGTTGACCATACTCATTGTCCACAAATACATGGGAGATTTGGGTGACGCCAGATTCCTCTCTGTCAAAGTAATTTTCCACCTTTATGTTTTCAGGAACTTCCCCTTTCTCACTTTTAATATGCCCATGGACAACTTTGCCATACATGTAATTTTCTGAAGCCATTTTTTCCTTTTGAGCACTCATAATGGTGAAAAACTTCAACCCCTCAGCCACAAGCTCTTTAACACAGCACACCACGATGGCACATCCTGACAAATATGAAGCAGAAGCAGCATGTAAATATACTAACAAGTTGATAGTACTACTAACTAACTAACTACTAACCGTTGGTTAAAATCAATATAAATAATTTCGTTAGGTTAGAATACACAAACACATTAGCCAAATAACCAGCAGTCACAAAACAAAAATCAAATCCAAGCGAATAACCAAAATTTCTGTGTTATGTGCCGCGGTTATAATATGGTTCAAGATGACACACGGGTTGATGACGTCAGTTACGCGAATCGCTTGAACGCGTTGGTTTTAACCGCGGTTTTGTTGCAAGTTGTTTATTTTAGAAAAGCGCGTATATAATCTCTGATTATTTTTATTATCACTTAATAATCGGTGCTTTTTCGTCTACAACTGTATATGGAAAGTTTAAATAAGAAACCTTTCATAATATTCATGGGAGAAATGTTTTTTTCAGATTTTTTTTTAATGATAGAACCATGGCTTTGTCGCTATGATAACTTTCAATTCTCTAAATGTTTCCGCATGTCAAAGAAAACATTTATTGATTCAGCAGAAATGATGAAAAAAGAAATTAGCAAAACCGTATACAGGTGGATATCATCTAGTGAGTTTATATGGCTATATTTTAATATTCTTGTGGTATATGGCTACACAGGATACTTTGTTAAGCATAGGAACTACATTTAAAGTGTCCCCAACAACCGTAATGAGTATAACTAATAAGGTGCTCCACTTTATGGTAAAACTGAAGTCAGCCTGTATCATTTTTCTCAAAAATGAAGCTGAAGTACAATAACAATATCCAATACCCGGCAAAATTCTAACTTGTCACATTTCAAATAATAACCAGAAATATAAAACTTGTCTTGAGTTGGGTAAATACCACAATTTTGCGGTGATAACTATGACATATAACAGCTGATTCGTGACGTCACGGATCTTATAACCAAACTGATAACTACACTCGCTTGAACGGATTGGTAAATACCAACCCAAAATGGTAAATACCATTTCCATTTGGTTATCCGCTTGAATTTGATTAAAGCGTGATGGATACCACAAAACATATAAATCAAATCCAAGCGAATAACCAAAATTTCTGTGTTATGTGCCGCGGTTATAATATGGTTCAAGATGACACACGGGTTGATGACGTCAGTTACACGAATCGCTTGAACGCGTTGGTTTTAACCGCGGTTTTGTTGCAAGTTGTTTATTTTAGAAAAGCGCGTATATAATCTCTGATTATTTTTATTATCATTTAATAATCGGTGCTTTTTCGTCTACAACTGTATATGGAAAGTTTAAATAAGAAACCTTTCATAATATTCATCGGAGAAATGTTTTTTTCTGATTTTTTTTTAATGATGGAACCATGGCTTTGTAGCTATGATAACTTTCAGTTCTCTAAATTTTTCCGCATGTCAAAGAAAACATTTATTGATTCAGCAGAAATGATGAAAAAAGAAATTAGCAAAACCGTATACAGGTGGATATCATCTAGTGAGTTTATATGGCCATATTTTAATATTCTTGTGGTATATGGCTACACAGGATACTTTGTTAAGCATAGGAACTACATTTAAAGTGTCCCCAACAACCGTAATGAGTATAACTAATAAGGTGCTCCACTTTATGGTAAAACTGAAGTCAGCCTGTATCATTTTTCTCAAAAATAAAGCTGAAGTACAATAACAATATCCAATACCCGGCAAAATTCTAACTTGTCACATTTCAAATAATAACCAGAAATATAAAACTACTCTTGAGTTGGGTAAATACCACAATTTTGCGGTGATAACTATGACATATAACAGCTGATTCGTGACGGCACGGATCTTATAACCAAACTGATAACTACACTCGCTTGAACGGATCGGTAAATACCAACCCAAAATGGTAAATACCATTTCCATTTGGTTATCCGCTTGAATTTGATTATACACTGCAGAAGGTAGGATTCCATGTTATTCAACATGATTGGCTTATGTCTTTGTCAAGCGCCATTTTTTTTTGATGGTGCGAAGCGGCTGCCAGATTGTGCATGGAGAATGCTTTTTGTATGGTAAAATAGAAGTCAATAGTCAATAACACAAGCGGTCATAAGATCACCAATCTACTTAATAACTTGGAAAGGTTCATAAGAAAAGAATGTTGCAAATACCTAAATATATATTATATAAATCTCATACATTTTTCTGACAAATCAGTATCATCAATTATGGTCCAGACGTTTTCACTTCCAAAAAATTTGAATTGTGTAGATGTTATTGCATTTCACATATTTATTTTTTTGTTGGAACAACATGTACCTGCAAGAGTTTTTTCAGGCGTCCTGATCATCGTCAATAGATGTAACTTTTTGTAAAACTATACCTGCCCCAAAAACTTTTTGAATAGCAGAAGTATTTTCTCAACAGGGACAAATCCAAAAAAATCCTCAAAGGTGTACACAAAATCATGTTTTACTTGAAAATGATACTTCTTAATTACATGATTATGTAAATTACCTTAATTGTGAATGGCTCGTGCAGTGAATATACTTAGTTTATCTATCCTTTCTGCATCAAGATGTTTCAACACATGCCTATTAAAGGAACCCTTATTTGTGGTTTTATAAGTGCAGTATGAGCACTCATGGATTTTACTTGAAACTGATGCACTATACTGAGGATGTTCCTTAATTATATGATCATCTAGTTTTCTCTTATCTTTGAATTTAGACTGACAGTGAATACATGTTTCTAGCTCACAGCCAACTTCTGACCCAGAATGCACTCCCACATGACGAACTAAACAACTTTGAAAGGCAGTTCTGAATTCACAATATTTACATTCATGTATTTTACTTGATACTGATGCAATATATTCAGGATGTTTCTTAATTATATGATTATCTAGAGATTTCTTATATTTGAATGTAGAGTTACAGTGAATACACGTTTCCAGCTCACAGCCAACTTCTTTCCCTAAATGCTTTCTCATATGACTAACTAAATAACTTTTTATGGCAGTTTTGAATCCACAATGTTCACATTCATGTATGTTATTTGAAACTGATGCAATACACTGGGGATGTTTCTTAATTATATGATCATCTAATTTTCTCTTATATTGGAAAGTCGCGTTACAGTGAATGCACGTTTCTAAATCATAGACAACTTCTGCCCCTGGATGCTTCCCCATCATATGACTAACTAAGTGGCCTTTTATGGTAGTTTTAAATACACAATATTTACATTCATGTATTTTACTTGAAATCGATGCAACATATGCAGGATGCTTCTTAATTATATGATTATTTAAAGTTACCCTACGTGTGAATGTCCCATTACAGTGAACACATTTCTTAGGCTTATCATCACTTTCTGCTCTAGGATGTTTCAGCACATGTTGAACTAAGTTTTCTTTTTTGGTAGTTTTGAATTTACATTGTGCACATGCATGTATTTTACTAGAAATCTCAGTAATAAAGCCAGGGTGTTTCTTGATAATATGATCATCTAAACTTCTTTTCCTTCTGAATGTCATATTACAGTAAATACAGATATTGAACTTATTGCTTTGTTCATCCCTAGGTTGTTCCGAAATATGATCATCCTCATTTTTAATCAAGTGCTCTTCAGTGATTTCTGTAATTTCACAGGGATCGATGTCCAACCCATTTTCTAATTTCAATTCCTCAACAGTTTCACATTTGACATGGGGTTCGGTCAAATCATGCTCAGTAGCTGTGCTAAAAGACAATAATATAGACTCCAACAGTGTTCTGCTGAGGAAGGTCTCTCAAATTTTAACAATAAATATGATATGCAGCACATGTATGACAAAATATTAAAGAGTAAAGTTTTGGAATATACATTGGAAGGTTGCCCAAATCCAACAAATTGCTAAGCAATACAACTTGAAATTCACTTAAGTTTTATCTCAGTAATAACTTATCCAAACCCTCAAGGTCCACTAAATTTTTTTTTATAGATTGATATGCAATGAATGCTTGATGGTCACTGCCCCTAGACCTCTTTGTGGACAATAACTAAAATATGATATCAAGGAATAATCACCTGTTTAAAACAATTTTTGTGTCTTCCTTCAAGACCCGTTGAACATCGTTCTCATTTTTAATAGTCAGTTCATAATCAAAATTTGCTATTTTATCAGGTGCATTTTTGGATCTAAAACATTTTTGGTTCTTAATAATTTTTACAAAACAACATTTTGAAGAATCACCTATCTGAAACAGCATCTGTATCAAGACCTGTGTTAAGGTATTGACCGTATTCATCTTTAATAAATACATGGGTAAATCGAATGACTTCAGATTCATTTATATCGAAGTCATTTTCTACGTTTATATTTTCTTTTTGTATTCCAGAAACTTCCTCTTTCTCACTTTTAACATGATCATGGGGCACTTGGACGAGTTCAAATTCTTTGTCATCCAAATGATTTTCCAGATCCATTTCTTCCATTTGGGCATTCAACAATTAAAAACTCACAAAAACACATGTATACACGGTCCTCCACATCACAATCGTGTCCACATCCCACTTCCCACACGATAAAAACAAAACACTGTTTTACTGCTTGTGAAGAGACTGAAAAGTGACGTGTGACTGCCTGCAAAGGTGCAAAGGTGGTGACAACGAACCATCGAGATAAAAGGGCAACACCGCATTATATGATCAATAGCAGCGCCATCTTATAATAACTCTTCGAAGTTTAATGAAATTGAATACGAAATCTATAGAATTTTGGATACACAGCAGTTCATCTCACTTCAGATTCTCTACACCGTTTTATACTCCCATCATAAATTTCTTTTCTAACACTCATTATGAACATCTTCAAGCACCACTTTAAAAAAAGAACTATTCAAATTACTGTAATTCAAACTAATCACACTGTTACAGTTGTTTTGCCGATAATTCGCAAAAAAAACTGGTATCAAATCTTTGGATAATCAAAATAAACGGAAAGTGCCGCGAGTAGAACTATGCTGCAACAATGCCAAATCTATTTTTCACAGCTCGTTAGGTCAAATATCGCCAAAGTGGTAAGCATTGTTGCCAGGTATGCTAAAAGTCTCATTTTCTGAATAATTACAAATGTCCCAATGTTATCGCAAATTCAGAAAGTACATGTACATGTAGCACTAATAAGTTTAAGCAATAAATTCAATACCAACCGAAAGTATAATTCCTATAGATTATGTGTGTGTTGGGTTGTCTAGTTTTCCCTGGCGTAACTATTTTGTTGGCAGGTATAAACACGTACGTTGATTTTTTGATACTAGTTATTTACTCGAATTTCTTTAATACAAAATAACAATAATCATCTTTATTTCAACAGTGTACACCAAATCAAAGGAACAATACAATTAGAACTCACGACATTTATGTGCTATAAAACGCAATAAAGTGAATTCAAAAAAAAAATTATAGAAAAAAAAACGTTGTCATATATATGTATATACATATTGTATTAAGCTCAGGCGTTGAATTGATTCTAGCGCTGAGGTTACATTTTGATACAAAGATGACCATATTACTCTAGTTTGATCCTTATAAAAGAGGTATATACTGTTTTGAGATTTCTTATATCTGAAAAGTTCGACCAATTTCGAATACAATGTCCCAATGCCTTATTTTACTTTGCAAGCATTTCTCTTATGTGTTCCGAAAATATGAGCCAAAACTACCCCTAGGTAGGATTGAAATCTTAGTATTTAAGCGTTATTAAAATCGCACTTCTGACACCAATTATCACGAATGGTCTATCTCGCGTGCCTGATGAAAATGTTCTCGACATTTCACTTTTTATTCGCTCAAAACTTACTGAACCGTTAATCTACAACTACACACTGCCGTATGTCATATTAACACGTGAATATCTCTTTCGCGAAACATTTAAAAAATCTAGATACAAAACGGCGAACTAACAGACAGAACTCTTAAACCTACTACCACAGCTTAGATAACAATTGACTACTCAAGTGGATAAAGGTGTCGTGTAACAAAATCATTGTATGGAGGAAACTGCCATTTTTTTATTGGAACTTTCTACTTTAAAATTTTAAATATTTAGTTTGTTGTTATCTTGTTTTTGCAACAAAGTAATCACAGAATGAAAGAATCACTCCTTAATGTTAGTTTAATGCAATTTAAAAAAAAGTGCTACGAGACACCTTTATACACTTGAGTCTTCAATTGTTATACTACTTTACAACTGAGAATAAACCTACCCAATTTGACAACAGGACACAGAACTCAAGTGTAATGTGGGTCCGCCCCTAGATGCTTCGTCATATGTCTCAATAAACGACCTTTTCCAGCAGTTTTAATTACACCATATTTTCATTCATGAATTTTACTTGAAATCGATGCAATATACTCTGGATGTTTCGCGATTATATGATTATTCAAGGATACCTTACGTGCGAATGCCTCATTACAGTAAATACACTTTTTAGGCTTATATTCACCTTCTGTTCCACGATGTCTCAGCATATGTAGTGCTAAACTTTTTTTAATGATAGTTCTATACGCACAATGTGCACATTCATGTATTCCACTAGAAACATCTACTATAAAGTCAGGATGTTTTTTGATTATATGGTTATCTAAATTAATCTTATCTTTGAACATTGCATTACAGTGAATACACGTTTTACGTTCACATCCAACTTCTGCTCCTGTCCTTGGATGCTTCCCCATCATATGACCAACTAAATGACTTTTTACGGCAGTTTTATATATACAGTATTTACATTCGTGTATTTTACCTGAAATCGATGCAATATATTCGGGATGTTTCTTAATTATATGATTGTTGAAGGCTATGTTACGTGTGAACGCCTCATCACAGTGACCACATTTTTTAAGTGCGCTTCCATTTTTTGTCTCTGAATGTTTCCCCATATGTCTACTGATATTAAATTTTGAGGTTGTTTTAAATACACAATATTTACATTCATATATTTTACGTGAAACTAACATGGTATGCTCGGGATGCTTCCTAATTATATGATCATCTAAAGCTGTCTTATGTCTGAACTCTCCATTACAGTGAACACATTTTTGGAACTTATAGTTACCTTTTGCTCCAGGATGTTTCAGCATATGTTTAACTAGGTTTCCTTTAATGCTACTTTTATATGCAGTAAAATCAGGATGGTTCAACATATGCTTAGCAAGCTTACCCTTGATGGTAGTTTTGTACATGCAATATATGCATTCATGAACTTTACTTGAAACTGATGAAATATAGCCAGGATGTTTTTTAATTATATGATCATCCAAAGTTGTCTTACGTCTGAACGCCCCATTACAGTGAACACATTTTTTAAGCTTGGTGTCGTCTTCTGCCCCAGAATGGATCAGCAGATGCCGAACTAAACCATCTTTCCTGGCAGTTTTATATGTGCAATGTGCACATACATGTATTTTACTAGAAATCTCAGCAGTAAAACCTGGATGATTCTTAACTATATGGTCATCCAAATTTCTCTTACTCTTGAATGTTGCGTTGCAGTGAAAACACGACTTAGGCTCACAGCCACCTTCTGCCTCCATATGTTTATCCATATGTCTACCTAGATTATATTTTGAAGTGGTTTTATATACACAATATTTACATTCATGTATTTTACTTGAAACAAATGCAATATACTCAGGATGTTTCTTAATTATATGATCATCTAAGGCTGCCTTATGTCTGAACTCTACATTACAGTGAACACATTGTTTAAGCTTATATTCACCTTCTGCTTCAGGATGTTTCAGCATATGTTGAACTAAGTTTTCTTTAATGGTACTTTTGTATGTACAATGTGTACATGCATGTATTTTAGTAGATACCTCCGCAATAAAGTCAGGATGTTTCCTGATAATATGATCATCTAAAGTTCTTTTTATTCTGAATGTCACATTACAGTGAACACATTTTTTAGGCTTATAGTCACTTTCTGCGCCCGGACGTTTCCGCATATGACGAACTAAACCTTCTTTAATGGTAGTTTTAAATGTACAATGTGCACATGCATATATTTTACTAGAAACCTCAGCAATAAAGTCAGGATGTTTCCTGATAATATGATCATCTAAATTTCTTTTTACACTGAACGTCATATCACAGTGAACACAATCATTGGGCTTATGAATTCCATCTGCCCTAGGCTGTTTCAAAATATGATCATTATCATTTGTAAACATGTACTCCTCAATGTTTTCTGTACTTCCACAGGTCTCAATATCCAAATCGGTGTCCAACTTCAATTCTTCAAGGGCTTCACATTTTATCAAGGGTTTAGTGAAATCATGCTCAGCTGCTGCTCTAAAATTTGATAATATAAATTGTAATGGCATTCTGGTTAAGAACTACTCTTAAATTTGAACAATGAAAAGGCTAAAGCTTGTTGCCCCTAAACTATGGAAGACAATTAAGCAATGTTAATGCACAATACCTGTTTAAAACGATTTCTGTGCCTTCATTGATGAATCGTTGTTCATCATTCTCTTTTTTAATAGTCAGTTGGTCAGAATCTTCTGTAACTTTGTATATGATATTATCCAAGTCCTTTTGGAACTCTATTTTTTTATCATGCCTTTTGAGAACTCCAAACCTTATAAAATTATGATCAAAATTTGCTATTTTATCAGGTGCTTTATAGGATCTAAAATAATTTAGATAATAAATAAATATGTTTTAAAACCACTGACTTTGAAGAATCACCTATCTGAAACAGCAACTGTATTATCAAGACCCGTGTTAATACATTGGCCATACTCATCTTTAATAAATACATGGGTGATTTCAGATTTATTTCCCTCAAAGTTATTTTCCACCTTTATATTTTCTTTTTGCATCACTGAAACTGGCTCTTTTTCACTTTTAACATGATCACAGGGCACTTCGAGGACTTCAAATTCTTTGCCATACAACTGATTTTCCTGTTCCATTTTTTCTTTTTAAGCACTTAAACTCAACTGTGCAAAACTTCCACAATTCTGAACCACACAGGCATACACCACAAACAAAAATATACACGGCCCTGAATAAGCTGTTTACATCACAAAAACAAAACAAATGCTAATCTAGTGACAAGTGACAACGAGGCTGGGGAAGTAAAAGATAACACATCATATAATCATCGGCAGCGCCACCTTGAACTAACTGATTGAAATTTTAAATCGAGTACCAGTTTCAAAAAATGTATACGAATTTTCGCATCATCTTACTCTAAATTATTGGAGCGTATCGTTATTTCGAATGCTTTTTAACTGTAATACTTTTGGCACACATCAATAAAAATTGACTTGATCTTACTACACCGTTTCACACTCACATCAAAAACACGTTTGTAGCACTAATACTGAATACTTCAAATCGCATTGTTGAAATTGTTTCGCCGCTAAATCGGCCCAAAACAGTGGTATATAAAATATCCTTTCCCGAAAACGGGATTACAAATTAGAAGTAGAACTCCGGTGCAATGTTGCCAAAGCTACTGTTGAGACCTGATTTGCCAGACCAATACTAAAAAAAGCTAGTAAAGGGCGAAAAAGAAAATTCATAAATAACGAAAGTATCACTTTCCACACTTGTTAGGTAAATAACTATTTTATCAAATCATTTTCCACAACTATTTTTTTCTTTTTCCATCTCAGAAACTTTTTTTTCACTTTTAATACGTTACGGGGCGATTTGGGACGCCTCAAGTTCTTTACCGTCCAAAAGATTCTCCAGTTCCATTTTTTCTGGACGCATCCATAGGATTATTAGCTACACTATACTATTTATCACAAAACATACATTAGCAGTAGTAGTACGATTTTATTCAGAAAAATACAAAGTACAAACACATGGTTCAAATGGCAAGTCACAAAAAAGAATGAAGATGAAAAGATGTAATATACCTATTTATAACTGAAAAAAACTTCCTCATCTCTCAACAAGCCCTTTACACCAGAAAACAATTATCAAACAGGCTTTCTTTTCTTTATACCATACAGAACATAATAAACAAAACACTGTACCACCGACATTAAAGGCGACAACTAACGTGGCAACCAGATAAAAATGCAACATCGCATCATGTGCTCGATAGCGCCACCTTTAAACAGTTTTGCCGAACCTAACGATTTTTCGGTATTTTTACCGAAATGATACCGTCACCAGACAGGGATGAGGAACCACAAAGCTCGTCTGTAATCAATTTAACCCTGGGGTACTAACCTTATTTTTTAATCCGTTTATACTAACCTTTGTAAAAATTACAAAACCGCTCTTAAACACACATCCAAAGGATATCGAACTCTTTCTTACACAGTATCTCCACAGTACTATGATAACACTGGCAAAACAGAAGACTAGACAAGAGCACAGCGCAAATAGTTATACTGCGACGATAAAATCCCGATCAAAAAAATGTAGCTTCGTAAAACTTACGATAGTTCGTATTCCAGGGTTAATATTACATTGAAATGCCAGGTGATAAGCCTTCTAGTTCACGAATGAAACAGAAAAATATGAAGAATCTTATAAACAAGACTGGCGAACGGTGTCTCAATGATGGTTGAAAAGGAACTCGGAAGAACCGCCTGTATATTCATTGTACAATTTGTTATAAAGAACTAATATTTTTTTCAGATGCCCTTAAATAAACCTGTGTTGTATATGTGTTCGCAATACAAAAATATACACAGATCTTTTGATGACCCCTATTTTTTCGTCCTACCGATATTGTACTTGAATCTACCGAATTTCACGACACTGTCGACCGATTTTGTGTTTTTCGGTTCAGTATCACTGCCTTTATACCACAAAATTTATATACAGAAAAGACAACTCAATGCATTTTGATTGAATGAATGTTACTTGAAATCGATGCAATATACTCGGGATGTTTTGTAATTATATGATTATTTAAGGATACCTTACGTGCGAATGCCTCATTACAGTAAACACACTTTCTAGGCTTATATTCACCTTCTGTTCTAGGATGTTTCAGCATATGTCGAACTAAACTTTTTTTAATGGTAGTTCTATACGTACAATGTGCACATTCCCGTATTTCACTAGAAACGTCAACAATAAAGTCAGGATGTTTTTTAATTATATGGTCATCTAAATTTATCTTATCTTTGAACATTGCTTTACAGTGAATACACATTTTACGTTCGCAGCCAACTTCTGCTCCTGCCCTTGGATGCTTCCCTGTCATATGACCAACTAAATGACTTTTTACGGCAGTTTTATATATACAGTATTTACATTCGTGTATTTTACCTGAAATCGATGCAAGATATTCGGGATGATTCTTAATTATATGATTGTTCAACGCTATGTTACGTCTGAACACCCCATCACAGTGACCACATTTTTTAAGCGCGCTTCCACCTTTTGTCTCTGAATGTTTCCCCATATGTCTACCGATATTAAATTTTGATGTGGTTTTAAATACACAATATTTACATTCATATATTTTACGTGAAACTAATCCGGTATGCTCGGGATGCTTCCTAATTATATGATCATCTAAAGCTGTCTTATGTCTGAAGGCTCCATTACAGTGAACACATTTTTGGAACTTATAGTCACCTTTTGCTTCAGGATGTTTCAACATATGTTTAACAAGGTTTTCCTTAATGGTACTTTTATATGCACAATGTACACATGCATGTATTTTAGCAGAAACCTCAGCAGTAAAATCAGGATGTTTCCACATATGATTAGCAAGCTCACCCTTGATGGTAGTTTTGTACATGCAATATACGCATTCATGAACTTTACTTGAGATTTGTGAAATATAGCCAGGATGTTTCTTAATTATATGATCATCTAAAGTTGTCTTACGTCTGAACGCCCCATTACAGTGTACACATTTATTAAGCTTATAGTCATCTTCTGTCCCAGAATGTAGCAACAGATGTCGAACTAAACCGTCTTTCCTGGCAGTTTTATATGTACAATGAGTGCATTCATGTATTTTACTAGAAACCTCAGCAATAAAATCCGGATGATTCTTGATTATATGGTCATCCAAATTTCTCTTACTTTTGAATGTCGCGTTGCAGTAAATACACGATTTAGGCTCACAGCCACCTTCTGCCTCCGAATGTTTATCCATATGTCTATCTAGATTATATTTTGAGGTGGTTTTAAATACACAATATTTACATTCGTGTATTTTACTCGAAACAGACGTAATATAATCAGGATGTTTCTTAATTATATGGTCATCTAAAGATGTCTTACGCCTGAACTTTTCATTACAGTGTATACACTGTACAAGCTTATGGTCACCTGCTTCAGAATTTTTCAGCATATGCTGAACTAAACTTTCTTTAATGGTGGTTCTATATGTACAATGTACACATGCATGTATTTTACTAGAAACATCAACGATAAATTCAGGATGCTCCTTAATTGTATGGTCATCTAAACTTATCGTATCTTTAAACTTTCCATCGCAATGAATACACGGTTTAGGCTCACCGCCACTTTCTGCCCCGTGATATTTCATATGTTTAACTAAATGACTTTTTTTAGTAGTTTTAAATGCGCAGTATTTACATTTATGTATTTTATTTGACACTGATGCAATATACTCGGGATGTTTCTTAATCATATGATCGTCTAAATTTACCTTACTCGCGAATGACGCGTTACAGTGAATACACGTTTTACGTTCAAAGTCGAGTTCTGCTCCTGGATGCTTCCCAAGCACATGACTAACTAAATGACTTTTTACGGCAGTTTTAAACACACAGTGTTTACATTCATATATTTTACCTGAAATCGATGCAATATGCTCAGGATGTTTCATAATTATATGATTCTTTAAGGCCATCTTACGTCTGAACGCCCCATTACAGTGAATACATTTTTTAAGCCTATAGTCACCTTCTGCCCCAGAATGTTGCACCAGATGTCGAACTAAGCTTTCTTTCCTGGTACTTTTATACATACAATGTGCACATGCATATATTTTACTAGAAACTTCAGCAATAAAGTCAGGATGTTTCCTGACAATATGATCGTCTAAATTTCTTTTTACACTGAATGTCATATTGCAGTGAACACAATTATTGCGCTTATGAATTTCATCTATCCTATGTTGTTCCAAAATATGACCATCATCATTTGTAATCATGCTTTCTGTACTTCCACAGGTCTCAATATCCAAATCGTTTTCCAACTTCAATTCTTCAAGAGCTTCACATTTTATCAGGGGTTTAGCAAAATCATGCTCAACTGCTGCTCTAAAATATGATAATATAAATCGTAATGACGTTCTTGTGACTCTTACTCACTCTTAAATTGGAACAATAAGATTGAAACAGCACTTGTATAACAAAAACCTAAAGAGTATAACAAGTTAAAACATTTAGAATGATCATTTTTAAGGTTGCCCAAATACATCAAACTATATGTATATGGTATAAAAACAGTACTTGATACACAACTTCAAAATAATTTAAATTTAGTGTTACTAACATATCTGAAATCCTCATGGAAATGACTATGTGATAATATTTATTTGCTGGAATTAGTTTTCGATAATCTTTTAAATTATACTTGAGCTGGCCATATACACTCATACTTTCGCGTGAAAAATTCATGTGGTGTCCAAGGAACATGAAATACCTACCATGAATTATATATATTATATTAAAATATGTCTGTCACTTTTTCTTGGAAAAAGGCACCTTTAGTGTTCCACTACCGCACTGGTAAAACATATCTGGAATGTTGCACCTCCACAACAGATTTAGGCATGTTGTATTGATACCAAGATTGTAGAAGCTTACAAAACATATGAGTTCATTGAAAGATGCTGTTTGGTCACCCAATAATGAAGCATCTTTGAAAAGCTTATTGAATACTGATATGTGTACTAAACTGGAGTACTGCTTCAATGCTTAGAATCATTACTACTGTGTCATAAAGAAAAATAATGTGTATGTAGGACCAGCAGTCAACTAGTCAAGTGAATCTATTTGAAAATACATCAATTATATGCCTGTTGATATGTAATGACATTTTAGCCAAATCTGCAGCATTTGTTTAACCAGTGATATCACCATCACCAACCAAGAGAATTCAATTGAAATAAATGAATATGAAATTTTGTCAAGAAATTGATTCCATATATGTATGATGTAGGTAATACTCTCAAAATATAAAATATATAATACTTCTGCAGAACTTCTGACATTTCCAATTTTATATATTTTCAGCAACATATACTAATTTAGTTTTGAATGTTCTTGGTTGGTGCTTGTTGCCCCCAAACTGTGGAAGAAAATGTTAATGGACACTACCTGTTTGAAACAAGCTCTGTGTCTTCATTTATGAAGCTTTGTTCATCAGTCTCTGTTTTAATAATCAGTTGGTCAGAATGTTCTGTAACTTTGTATTTGTTATTATCAACATCCTTTTGGCACTCTATTTTTTTATCATGCCGTTTGAGAACTCCCTTATTAGTATCTTCAAACCTGATGGAAGTATGATCAAAATTTGTTGTTTTATTGGGTGCATTGGATCTAAAATATTTTAAATAAATAATTATCATAAAACAACTGCTTTTGAAGAATCACCTATCTGAAACAGCATCTGTATCGAGGCCTGTGTTAATACATTGACCATACTCCTCTTTAATAAATACATGAGTGATTTGAATGACTTCAGATTTATTTCTATCAAAGTTATGTTCCACCTTTACATTTTCTTCTTGCATCGCAGAAACTGCCTCTTTTTCGCTTTTAATATGATCATGGGGCACTTGGACGAGTTCAAATTCTTTGCCATCCAAGTGATTTTCCAGTTCCATTTTCTTGTTTTTGAGCACTCAAACTGAACTGCGAAAAACCTAAACAATCCTCAACCGCAACGAACATACGAGTACACCACAAACAGAAATAGAGACAGTCCTCAATAAGCTGTTTACAAAACATTACAAAAACAAAACACTGCTGATCTAGTGACAAGTGACGGTGACAACGAGGCTCAGAGAGAAAACGGCAACACCACATCATATGATCATCGGCAGCGCCACTTTGAAATCATGGAAATTTTAAACCGAGTACCAAATCACCTTATTAGAAATTATTGGACCGCATCGCTATTTGAAATGCTTATGTAACCGTCGAATTTTCGGCACACAGCAATAAAAAGAGAACTTACTTAAGATTCTCTACACCCTTTCACACTGACATCAACTAATTATGAACTCTTCAAGCACCACACCTAACAAATGTACTATTTATATTATTGAAATTTGAACAAATTTCATTGTTAAAATTGTTTTGCCGTTAAATCGCTCCAAGTCGGTGGTATATAAAATCTTAGAGGATAAGGATACCGTAAACGGCAGTATAAGTTTAAATCTCCGGTGCAACGTTGCCAAATTATATCATATAGATGTTCACGTTCGTAGCGTTGCACGTTGAATTACACTGAGTTAGCATTCTTTCAGTGTATATTTTGTGGTTTTACACATATGTAAACAGTGGTTTTAGTATTTATTGATTAAACACTATAATTTAAAAAAAAACGTTATTGTTATAGTGATGCCTCCTATAAGAAGTGATTTGTGGAACTATTTTGTAAAATCGAGTTTAGGTGAAAGATATAAGTTATGCAATTTTGAGGTTTTTTACCTATCCTTATTAGTGAATGTATTTGATAATTTAGTCATGCAGTTCAAAAAAGTAAACATTGTGTTGTAAAAAAAACATGTTCGATTTTTGGCAGTGTATGTTCGTATCGACACTTGTGGTATAGAATCGATATTTTTATTCCGATATTTTATAGTATCAAATTAGCTGTTTCGTGCTATTTGGCAACTCTGCGGCATGGGGTAGGCTTGGTCTCCGAGGTCCGAGGCCAACGACCAAAAGCTCAATAACTCTATACCATGCGGAAGATTTGTCAAATAGCTGGAATCTGCATTACTGGTTATATTTTGATGATTTGACAACACAATGAAGTATATCATTATAGACATAACACATTGCCGATATAAAGTTATCACTTTTAAAAAATGAACAATAAACAAATTGAAAGGTCCTAAATAACTTAAGACTTATAATTGAAATGTGGGTGCAGCTTTTCAAACTGAAATGTCTTTAGGCTTCCAAATAAAGACTTACCTGTTTATTGGAGTAAATTGGTTTCACATAATACATTTGTGCATCAGTGACAGATATTTACTAGTTATATTAACTTTTTATACAGTAAAAGGATGATTTTTTAGTTTTTTTAATGGGTAGGTGCTAATAAAACTATTTTGTATTGGTTTTATTGAGTTTATTTTACATTTTTCATCATGTGTTCTTCCCAATTCTGGATTTTTTTCTTATCTCTGTTTAACATCCTGATTTTAAAATACATTATGAAAAAGATGCTTGTCATCTGACCTTACACTAAGTGGCATGGCTAAATCCATTAACCATTTTAAGTAGCCAATTTTAATAACCCTGCATTGAAATTGACGAAAATATGACCTAGTTCATTACATTTAATTAGAAATAATTAAATACAGAGGCTGCACCTTCACTATTTGTTGCTTCAACATACCGGTTATCGTCAAATCGATACACACAAGTTGAAACTTATTCTTTGAACAGGGTTGTTTCATATACTCCAGCCCTGAACTCTTTACAGGAGCTTATTTGTTGGATGTTGTTGACGTAAAACGAGGATCTTAGTAGGCTACATTTACAATATATGTATACATTTGAATATACAGAGTGATTAAGGAAATAATGGTTACATCTATAGAGGATAAAGTAGATAAAAAAATAACACGGAAAAATCATATAATCATCGGTCCTGAAATGCCCCGTTACCAAAAAATTATACCTTTACATTGACTTAAAAAAAGCGTGGAACGTTCCACATTGAAATATCTACATTGAGCCATGACTTTTCCAAATGTCAAAAAAAAAATTAAGTGGGCCTTAATGGTCATGGTCACGATTTATTATTGGGCCAATTGACTATTGTAGATTAATGTGGGATGTTCTACTCTTTTTCTTTATGGAGTCAAAAATAAAGTCTCAGTGAATACTGATGTGATCGTGGTCAAGATTTATTATTGGAAATGATCAATGTGGATATTAACTTGACCTTCACAGTCATGGCCAAGATTTATTATTGGCAGTGGCCATAAGTCGTTTGACTATTACAGATCACATGTGGAATGTCCTACTCTTTTCATTTCCGTAATAAAAAATGAAGCATCTCATCGAAAAGTTACAACCTTGAACGTTATGCTCCTGATCAAATCTGCGAAATTCCAACTAAAATATATACATAATACCTATGTCTTTCAACCAATATATTAACCTATATTGCTATACTTATTTTCAGACAAAATACCCAATAGCCCAATAACTAATAATCAAAACCAATGAGTGGATTATATTAATCTCCTTCTTTTAAAAGGGCCTAACTGATTGTAACAAAGAGTAAGGACGTCCATTTGAGATGGGGGTTTCGTAGCAATAATCCATTTTTGCATGTTTGGGACGCCCTGTAAATCATGGAAACGTTTCATAGGGTTGCTAAGAGCCAACGAGAACTTTTAATCAGGATGCTCTAGAGAGGCTAATTCCCAAAGTTTGAGCAAGATTCACCGGGGACTGATTTCTGTAAGGTTTGTGCCCTCTCTTTTATCTTAGTTGTTATTATAGTCAGACACTAGGGTTTTCGGCTACTATCTGCACCAGGATGTTCCAACATATGCCTAGTAAGTTTACCCTTGAAGGTAGTTTTATACATGCAATATACACATTCATGGACTTTATTTGAAACTGATGAAATATACCCAGGATGTTTCTTAATTATATGATCATCCAAACTTCTCTTATATTGGAACAGTGCATGACAGTGAATGCACGTTTCAAGCTCAGAGCCGCCTTCTTCCTCATGATATTTCATTATATGACGAGATAAATCGCTTTTTTTGGTAGTTTTAAATTTACAGTACTTACATTCATGTATTTTATGTGAAATTGATGCAATGCCCTCAGGATGTTTCTTAATTATATGATTATCCAAATTTACCTTATTTGCGAATGTTGCGTTGCAGGAAATACATACTTTACGTTCACAGACATTCTCTGCCTCTGGATGCTTCCCCAAATGACTAACTAAATGGCTTTTTGAAGTGGTTTTAAATGCGCAATGTTTACATTCATGTATTTTACTAGAAACTGATGCTATATACTCAGGATGTTTCTTAATTATATGTTCATCTAAACTTATTTTATCTTTGAAGATTGCACTACAGTGAATGCACATTTTCAGATGGCATCCTCCTTCTGCCCCTGGATGATTCCTCATATGTTTAGTTAAATGACCTTTTGTTGTGGTTTTAAATACACAATATTTACATTCGTGTATTTTACTTGACACTAATTTAATATGCTCAGGATGTTTCTGGATTATATGATTGTCTAAAGTTGTTGTATATCTGAACTCCCCATTACAGTGGACACACTTCTTAAGCTTATAGCCACCTTCTGCCCCAGGGTGTTTTAGCATATGCTGAAGCAAGCGTACTCGCCTGGTAGTTTTATATTTACAATGTGCACACGCATGTATTTTACTAGACACCTCAGCAATCAAGTCAGGATGTTTCCTGATCATATGGTCATCTAAGCTTCTATTTATTGTGAATGTCATATTACAGTGAACACAGATAATGTGCTTCTGACTTCTTCCTGCCCTACGACGTTTTACAATGTGTTCATCTTCATTTTTAATTAGGCATTCCTCAGTGATTTCTGTTCCTCCACAGGTCTCAATGTCCAAATCGTTTTCTAACTTCAATTCCTCAATAGGTTCACATTTTATCCAAATGTTTGTGGAAGCAAGGTCATTTGCTGTGCTGCAATCAGAAAATAAAAACTGCAATAATCTCTCAAACATATTTGAAAATATCAGAGAAGTAAAGTAAAACATGAAATTCTAATAGATAGAATAACGGCCTTAACACATTCCCGTCAAAACAAACTATCTGTACGCCTACTGTCTCTACTACAAAATCATTGATAGCCATCACAGCAGGAACTACATCTTCTGCTTCGCTACCGCTCGGCCTGCACAGATTTGTGAGCAACAACTTTTTTCAAATCCTTGGAGAGAAAGAGAACCAGGGAAGCCGACTCAAGAGGGTCAGAACCGATATTGATGATGACAAAGAGCAGTTATATCAAGGGAAGAAACTTCATGAAATGCCTTAACAATCCGCTGGTCGGTCCCATTGACCTTGGGAGTTATCTGCTTTATAGTAGGGAAGCCAATCGTAAATCTTTTGTTACATCAAATGGATGATAAATATCCCCTCCACGAAATAGTACGAGGCGTGTTTTTAAAGTAAGTACCGTTTTGACCTAAAAAAACAACAAGTAAATTTTGTCCAAAAATAATTTATTCACTTGAAAGGCCATATTTTACTCTACTTTTCTACGTAATTCGCATTACGCTTGAGGCATTTATCTTATCTTGGGACCAGCTTTTGTATGCCATCGTAAAAGAAGCTTGCCGCCTGAGTAAATAACCACCGCTTCACATTTTTGGCACCCAGCGTGAACACAATTTCCGATAATTTAAACGTTCGGACACAATTTCGTAAAGAACACTTCTTGAGACAGCAGGAAACTGTTCAGCTAAGGACGAAATCGTGAATCGTCTGTTCTCTTTCACTTTATAGTCCACTTTTTGAATCAGGTCATCGGTAATGTCTGAGGGTCTCCCACTTCGTTCCTCACCATGAATGTTTGTGCGGCCATCTTCAAAGGCCCTAACCCATTTCTGCACCATTCCATCACTCATAATGTTTTTGACCATACACTTCACTGACTTGATGATGAATTTCAACTGATTTGAAGCCTTGAGCACACAGAAACCGTATTACAGCACACACTTCGCAGTCCGAGGGATTCTCAATCGGTGGAGGCATTTTAAAATCACACAAACAGATGTAGACTCGATAGGATGGTTCAGTAATGGCGTCTGCGGCTTCCCAACAGATGTAGCTACACGACGCGCATGCGCTAAACGGCAACCGCAGCGCTGCGGCGGCGTAATTTAAAAACGGTACTTACTTTAAAAACACGCCTCGTATATTTGTACAAAAAGTGCATTCATTACAAGTGATGGTCAATGAATTTGCACAAAAAGATCATCTATCTGGCAATAATGCATTTATTTAAGTAAGCATAAATTGCTGCAACTTTTTATTTTTTCTTTGACAATGTCTGGCTTCTGTTGACCTAATTATATGCTGACTAATGGGCAAATGTCCTATGGACCACCCCAATGTCACATGACAAATAGTAACAGAAATTTTTAACTTTATTTAATATTCAACATGAGATATACTTGAATTTGACGACAGCAACAACTAATCTGAAATCTTCCTCAAAATGCCTCTAAAAGCTACAATAGGTCAAGGTCAAAGGTTCAATTTTTCATGATGTAACCAATTTGGTGTTAACCAACTAGGTAGAAGGAGTCAATCAAGGATTTCTTTTAATGTTCATACTCTGTAATGAGGATCAAAGTGCACCTGACAAGTTATTTTTTTTATATTTCTGTTAGTAAATTCGTATATTTAGTGTTACTTGTCAAAAGTGTGAGTGTTTGCACATATTTAAGGTGTTAGACGATTGGCGATTTCAAGACATAGTACTTCTTACATAATTTGCAAAAAGCAGGACATGTCTAATGAATGTAGATGTTTCCAGCAGTAAGTATTATTATTATATTGATACAACACTGTCACTCTGATAGGCATTGGTAGACATACCAGTCAAAAGAAAGCAGAAGCACTAAAACTATGCAATTTAGGCAACTAACAATGCAGGTTTAACATACAGGCTTGGCTTCTGATCTATTTAAATTTGCTGGTTTTAAGTGATAATCTGAAAATACATCCATGCTATGCAGATTGCTGATTAGTGAATAGCATTTTTTTGCAGCTGATGCTCTTTTAAGTTGTAGAACAAAAGCTGCTGGTAACTAAAATGTAATTTAGCATCACCTGTTTGAACAAATGTCTGCGTTTTGATTTGTGAAGCTTTGTACATCATCCTCATTTTTAATAGTCACTTGGCCAGAACCTTCTGTAATTTTGTATTCGTTATTTGTATTCTTTTGCAGCTCTATTTCGTCCTCTACAACTTCCTTTTTTATTTTAATAAGTTCATGCGACATGACTACAAATTCTGTACCCTCCAAGTGACTATGCTGTTCCATTTTGTCTTCCTGGACACTGATAACGGAAAAAAGCTTCCTCAATACTCTTTTGCCGCACAATAAACTATATGTAAATATAAACAAAACACAACTAGTGAGGCTAGTGACAAGGATGACAAGTGACGGTACAGGTGACACGCACAAAAAAGCGAGAAAAACGGCAACATCGCATCATATGATCCTTGGTGGCGCCAATTTGAACTAACTCATCAGTTTGATGGATTGCAAATTGAATAAGAAACAATTACAAAAAAAAATAGCAGATTTCATATCACCTTATACGAAAATACTAGGGCGCAACGATTGTTGATTCAAGTGTTTTTTAATTATGAATTTTTTTATACATAGCAACAAAAATAGTGTACTCACCTCAGACCCCGCTACAAAATTTCAGGCTCACATCAAAAACTCGTTTGTAGCACTAATTATGAACACTTTAACTCAGCAAGTATTTAAATCACTGTAATTTGAACAAATTTAAATATCAACAAAATGATATTGGATGATGGCCGCGAAAGTCTTTCGTATTTCAAATTTATATCGTTTTGTTGTATCACACTAAAAAAGTATAGAGCGCTGCTGCCTTGCCAAATCTACTATTCACGTCTCGCGAGTTCAAGGTAACGCTGCAACCATGCCTGTGTCACAATGGTGAGCAGACAGTGTTGCCGAGTGACGTGAAATTCTCATTAATTTCTGATTCATTGCAAATGTTAGTAAATTATAAACTGTTAAAAACCGGCTCCGGGGTCTGGAATTCCTCTGGACGCCGCAGGGTTATTACTTAAAAAACTACTATATAATGTAAAAAAAATCGATAAAATTTCACTTTTTAAGTTATTATTAATTGGCTGATAGATGAGCCTAAGCTGTCGCCTCCACGATGGTATAGGTTTCAAAAGCCACAGAGACAGGAGACTTTTGAAAGTCCAATCCTGCAAAAAACGTAAGAACAAGGGCGATAGAGAAATAAAAAAAAACAAAATAAGATTGGATTACCAAAAGTATTTTATTTTTATTAAAGAATTATAATAATAAGGTATCATATACAATGCGTACATACATTATATTTTACTAGAAACCTTAGTAATAGTCAGGAGTTTCCTTAATCACACATTAAAGTGACTGCAAATTACAAATGCTAATGACATACAACTGTTTCCTGCCTCAGTGTGTGCTTCACGTACGATATTCAAACCGACACTTCTGAGTAGTGTTATAAGTTAGTACAATCTCGTGTTTGCTGCTAGTTGCTATCTTACAATTAAGAAAATACAAACAACTCAAATCAAAATAAGACAGCGCAAAGCGCCAGCTAGTTTTTTTTTTCATCGGACGGATGACAGTACCTATCATGTTTAGTTTACAAATCAAATTACAAATTGAATTGAACAGGGGTCACGTGATGCTCTATTATAAAAGCTCTATATAACCAGTGAAAACAATTTATCAATTTTAAAAATTTTAGACTGGTGGGTTGCCAAAGATGATCGTTTTTGTACAATAAAATGCTCATAATTCAACGTCCAATCATCAATGCTATAGTATGTTATGCTGAATGCTTGCCCATATGTCTCGTGAAATGATCTTTTGAGGTGGTTTTGAATATACAATATTTACAGTCATGTATTTTACTTGAAACTGCTGCAATATATTCAGGATGCTTCTTAACTGTATGGTCATCCAAACTTTTATTACATGTAAATGTCGCGCTACAGTGAATACAAGCTTTAAGCTTACAGTCACCTTCTACTCCTGGATGCCTCCGCATATGACTATTGAAATGACTTTTTAACGCAGTTTTAAATACACAATATTTACATTCATGTATTTTACTTGAAACTGATGCAATATATTAAGGATGCTTCTTTACTGTATGATCATCCAAACTTTTCTTACATGTGAATGTTGCGATACAGTGAATACACGTTTTACGTTCACAGCCACCTTCTGCCCCTGAATGCTTTCCCATATGACTAACTAAATGGCTTTTTGATGCAGTTTTAAATATACAATATTTACATTCATGTATTTTACTTGAAACTGTTGCAATATACTCAGGATGTTTCTTAATTATATAATTATCTAAATTTATTTTACTTGTGAATGTTGCATTACAGTGAGTACACATTTCACGTTCACTGCCATCTTCTGCCCCTGGATGCTTTCCCATATGACTAAGTAAATGGCTTTTTGAGGCAGTTTTAAACATACAATATTTACATTCATGTATTTTACTTGAAACTGATGCAATATACTCAGGATGCTTCTTAATTATATGATCACCTAAAGCTTTCTTACTTGTGAATGTTGTGTTACAGTAAATACACGTTTTAACCTCACAGCTACCTTCTGCCCCTGGATGCTTTCGCACGCCTCTAGCCAGACGATCTTTTAAGGTGGTTTTAAATACACAATATTTGCATTCAAGTATTTTGCTTGAAACAGATGCAATATACTGAGGATGTTCCCAATTATATGATCATCTAAATTCGTCTTATATTTGAATGGCATTTAATGATAAACTAATCTATTAAAAAATACATCTATTCTATGCAAATTGGCTATTAGTGAAGAATGAGACAAAATCCACACTAAAATTACAGCTGATGCTCTAATAAATCCTGAACTATGGAAGAGAATACAAGTAGCTTCTACCAAAAATGTTTAAAGAAAAAACAATCAATCACCCGTTTAAAACAACTTCCGTGTTTTCATTTGTGAACCTTTGTACATCATCCTCCTCATTTTTAGTAGTCATCAGGTCAGAACTTTCTGTAATTCTGGATTTGTTATCTGTATCCTTTTGCAACTATATTTCTTCGTCTTCTACTTTGAAAACTCCCTCGCTGGCCACGAAAGCATCATAAAAATTTGTTTTTGTATCATGTGCATTGCAGGCTCTAAAACATTTCAGATAACAAATAATCTTTACCGAACCCCTGATTTTGGAGAGTCACCTATCAAACACATTGTCTGCATCTTCCATATCAATAAGTCGGTCATACTCATCTTCAATGAATACACGAGTGATTTGAGAAACTCCAAACTCCTCTCTATCGTAGTCATTTACAGCTACTTTTTCTTTTTTTATCTCAAAAACTTCCCCATTCTCAGTTTTAAAAGTAAGTTCATGGAATATCTGGGTAGTGTCTTCAAATTCTTTACGGTCCAAGCAACTTTCCGATACCATTTGTTCTTTCTGGACACTCTGAGAAAAGTTCCTGATCCACAAAAATAAAAATTGCAAATATCATAACGAAAACAAAACAAAAACCTGTTACAAAAAGTGAAAGCTCACCCGCGACTAGGCTACATGGTGGTAAGCACAAAATATACACTGTGGTGGTAAGTAGGCAGTGTTGCCAGACGTAGAGAAATTCTCATTATTTTCCGATTAAGTACGAAACTCGGCTCGATCTAAGCAACCCAAAAAAATTGGCTTCGAAATCGTGATCATGACTTTCTGAGAATGCGGTTATCCATTGAAATTCGCATATTTAGTATGGTATTATGTACAAATTGGGGATGTATATGATTCATTAACCCACCAGAGGCTCAACAGGCAAAAGAAAAATCGTAATAACATATACTACTAAATGTGTTTTATTATTAAAAAACAGAAGTATTTATAAGATATTATGTACATACAGTATAAAGACAAATTAACTAGCCAGTAGGGCTATATGAATTTATATGCACATTGTGTGCATATATCATATTTTACAACTAATTTTAACATTAGTCGGAATGTCTCTTGATTATTTTTAAATGTTGCGTTATAATACAGCTATTTACTGCTTCTGGGTGGTACAGCATACCTATCATGGAGCCTATACACCAAAACTTAACGCCTGACTGAAGGTGCAGTTATCGAAGCGAGTAACGGCTACTGCATGCGCAGATTTGTGAGTAACATACATATTGCACGTTTCTCTCTCGTAGGCATCTTCGTCAGTGGAATTTGGATTTCTCTGTAAAGGCTCCGTGATACCTATGTTCTATATTCGTCAAATCGACTCTGATTACTTGAAAATGTCATGTAATTGTATGAACATCTAGATGTGTTTTAAACCCTACATTACATTGACTGTACCCCATTTCACGAGAATCTATTACGCTTTGACGTCTACTGAGGTGAACAGCTGATCAGCAAGTGACATTTGTGTGTTAGTCTGCATCGTTGCCAATAATGGATCGGGTATAAATCAAGCAAAACTTTTGTTTTTTGTATGTAAATGAACTTTTCTAAATAAAAGCAAATACAAAATGAATCTGTAGCATACAAAAAACAAAAACAAAATTTGGCTTTGTCTACCTGGCGGATCCGGCAGAATTATGTGTCCGGTGCCGTTATAGACAATATTGAGATATTATCAGATGATCAGCTGTCGTTCTACCGTGGTGGATATTCGTGAAATAGGGTATACACCTTCTGCCCCAGGATATTTCTGCATATTTTCAGCTAAATCACTGTTTAAGTACAGAATATTCATGTATTTTACTTGAAAACTACATGAACATCTAAATTCATCTTAGTAGTGAATTCAGGCATTAGGCTTACAGCTACTATCTGCATCACGATGCGTCAACATATGTCTATTAAGTTTAACCTTGAAGGTAGTTTTATACATGCAATATATGCATTCATGGACTTTATTTGGAATTGATGAAATATACCCAGGATGTTTCTGAATAATATGATCACCTAAACGTCTCTTATCTTTGAACATTGTGTCACAGTGAATACATGTTTCAAACTCACACCCACCTTCTTTCCGATGATAGTTCAACACATGTCTAGCTAAATCACTTTTTTTGGTAGTTTTAAATGTACAATACTTGCATTCATGTATTTTATTTGAAATTGATGAAATACACTCGGGATGTTTTTTAATTATATGATTATCTAAATTTACTTTACTTGCGAATGTTGCATTACAGGAAATGCAGATTGTACGTTCACAGTCACCTTCTGCATCTGGGTGCTTCCCCATATGACTAACTAAATGGCGGTTTAAGGTCGTTTTAAATACACAATATTTACATTCAAGTATTTTACTTGAAACTAATGCACTGTACTCAGGATGTTTCTGAATTATATGATTATCTAAAGTAGTTGTATATCTGAACTTCCCATTACAGTAAACACACTTTTTATGGTTATATCCACCTTCTGACCCAGGGTGTTTTAACAAATTATGTTGTACTAAACTTCCTTTGATTGTAGTTTTATATTTACAATGTGCACATGCATGTATTTTACTAGACACCTCAGAAATCAAGTCAGGATGTTTTCTGATGATATGATCATCTAAGCATCTTTTTGTTGTGAAACTGACATTGCAGTGAATACAGTTTTGCAGTTTATATCCACCATCTGCCTCAGGGTGTTTCACCTTATGATGAGCTAAACGATATTTCCTGGTAGTTTTATATTTACAATGTGGACATGCATGTATTTTACTGGAAACTGATGTAATAGATTCAGGATGGTTCTTGATTATATGATCATCTAAACTTACTTTACTTGAGAATGTCGCACTACATGAAATACAGAGTATGCGTTGACAGCCACCTTCTACCCCTGGGTGCTTCCCCATCATATGGTTAAATAAATGGCTTTTTAAGGTGGTTTTATATATACAAAATTTACACACGTATATTTTACTTGAAACTAACGCAGTATTGTCAGGATGTTTTTTAATTATATGATCATCTAAAGTTGTCTTCCATCTGAATCTCTTATTACAGTGAACACATTTTTCCAGTTTATGACCACCATTTGCCCCAGAGTGTTTCAGCATATGATGAGCTAAACTATCTTTCCTGGTAGTCCTATATTTACAATGTGCACATGCATGTATTTTACTAGAAACCTCAGCAATCATGTCAGGATGTTGCTTGATAATATGATCGTCTAAACTTCTTTTTCTTTTGAATGTCACATGGCAGTGATTACATATATTGAGCATATGGCTTCCTGCTACACTAGGATATTTTATAATATGATCTTCTTCATTTTTAATTGTGTACTCCTCAGTGATTTCTGTAATTCCACAGAAATCATTGTCCAACTTCAATTCTTCAACAGCTTCACACTTTATCCAAGGTTTAGTGACATCATGACCATTTATTGTACTACAAAAATAATCTAAACTTAAAACATATTTGATATTATCAGAGAAACACATGTAACGTATATCTTGCAATTCTGATAGACAAAACTTTACATTGATTCATAGTTATACCCTATTTCACGAGTATACATCACAGTAGAACGACAGCTGATCATCTAGTAATATCTTAAAATTCCACATATCGGCAGAGGACACATAATTCTGACGGATCCGTCTACGCCACATAGACAGAGCCGAATTTTGTTTTGGTTCATTTTCTACTTGTTAACAGCTCTTTTTTATAGAAAAGCTTATTTGCATACAAAAAACAAAACCCTATAAACAGGTTTTACTAAATTTACACCCGATTCATTATTGTCAACATTGCAGACTAACACAAAAATGTCACTTGCTGATCAGCTGTTCACCTCAGTAGATGTCAGACCATGATGGATACTCGAGAAATAGCGTATAAGGTCATATACTCATGTATAACAAAAAGTTATTGAATGGTTTCAACAAAATTGTTATGTTTAAGAGCAACAAGTTATTCCAAATTTCTTCAAGTGAATTGAGGTTCAGACAAACTCTGCACTGGGTACTTCCATCTTTCTTTTTTCCTTGACAAGTCCTGGTAAATGGGTAACCCCAGGACTGACAGAGTTGACGAATCTGCATTAAACACTGACTAATGAGCAAATTAATGTCCTATAGACTGCCCAAGCATATAAATGACAAACAGTTAAAGAGTAGGATAAAGTAAAACCATTGGAATGAAAACTTGCTCAACTTGATCAGAAAGTGATATTTAAAAGGTTTACTTGATTTTAACATCATATGAAAGGTCCAATTCAAATTTTTTTGATTTAACTAAGGTGGTTTTAAATGATTATCTAAAAACACATTCATTCTATGCACATTGCCTGCATTTTTTTGCACAAAAATTCACATTTAAATGTAATATAATCACCTGTTTAAAACAATCTCTGTGCTTTCATTTGCGAACATTTGTACATCAGCCTCATTTTTAATAGTCACTTTGTCAGATTCCTCTATAATTTTGTATTTGTTATCTGTATCCTTCTGCAACTCCATTTCTATCTCAAAAATTTCCTCCTCACTTTGTTTATGGGTCTTCTAATTCTTTACCGCCCAAGTTATGATCCGGTTCCAACATTTCTTTATGGACACTGGTAATGAAGAAAATTAATCAAGCCCTCAACACCATAGAAATAAAAACAAAACAACTGTGCTACACACAAAACACATAAGTCATAAGGCACACAAAAACATTCCGTAGTGAACAGCGGGAACAGATGGAATTTCCCCTCCCACTCGAAGTTTTGACAGTTTCAAGTTACACCGGAAGTGGTTAGATGTTTGCTTTAAGTTCCTTGATAAACTTAGCTGCCTTGTTTGAATCTGTTATAAAAAGACCGATCGTTTTTTGTGCAATGTACATATATATATATATACAGGGTGACTTCGAAGTTGAGTCATTTATTTTAACAGTGAGTAGATCTGATCAAAAGAAATGTTTTTTTCCTTTACCATTTTTCTGGTAAAATTAAAGTAACAAAGTTATAGCCCTTTGGAAGTTTGAGTACCGCCCTGTCTCAATAATGATATTATGTTCTCGTGTTTGGCAACAACAGATATAATCCGCCTTATCCGTTCATCGCATCGGAAACAAAAAAGCGAAAGAATTTGGAACGATATTTTTACAATTAGTTTCTTCAGTTGTATACAGTCAGTATCAGTCGGTAGTCGGTAACGCGTAAGTGAATTGTCGTGTCTGTTGCGAGGCTCAAATCAAAAATGGCACATGTTTACGAAAATGCTGAACTTGTGGACATGGTTCTTATTTACGGGGAGTCTTTACAAAATGCTGCCGAGGCATCACGGATCTATGCGGATCGGTTTCCCAATCGAGTGCAACCAACCCCTCGTGCCTTTGTTAATGTAGTGCAAAGAGCTCGTGAATCAGGTGACTTAAGACCTCACAGAGGAGATCATGCCGGTGCTCCAAGACCACACGATCAAATAGAACTAGAAGAACAAATTTTAGAATTAGTAAGTGATGATCCAACAGTAAGCACCCGACAAATTTCAACTCAATTGGCGATTAGTCAATATAAAACTTGGAAAACTCTATGTGAAAATCAGTTCTATCCGTTTCACATACAAAAAGTGCAGGCCTTACAACCGGAAGATCATGAACAAAGGGTTGACTTTTGCAATTGGCTTTTAAATAAACATCAAAATGATGACAATTTTTTAAATCAAATTTTAGTGAGTGATGAAGCCCTCTTTACTAGAAACGGAATTATTAATTCACGTAATTCTCACGTTTGGGCTATTGAAAATCCCCATGAAATAAGGGAAACCAATTTTCAACAGCGATTTGAACCAATCAACCTGTGGGCGGGAATTGTTAATGGAATTTTAGTGGGGCCTTTTGAATTACCAAATCGCTTAACTGGTGAAAATTATTTTGATTTCTTGCAACACAATTTGCCTGGTTTACTGGAAGATGTGCCTTTAAATATTAGACAAAACATGTGGTTTTTACAAGATTGGGGCACCACCCCATTATGCAAGAAATGTGCGTGAATTTTTAAATAGACAATTTAATAATCGTTGGATCGGCCGTGGCGGTTTTGTACCTTGGCCGCCAAGGTCTCCGGACTTAAATCCTTTAGACTTCTGTTTGTGGGGTTGGCTAAAAACTCTAGTGTATAAAACATCGGTTAATACACGCGAAGAATTACGTGCTCGAATTGAGGAAATGAGTACAGTGATCAGAAATCAACCAGTGATTTTATTGCGTGCTTGTAAAGAGACATGGCTAAGACGCGCCCAGCTGTGCGTCGAGCAAAACGGAAATCATTTCGAACAGTTTTTGTGACATGCTTTTGGGCGCACAGGTCCGCACTGAAATACTTGTCGGGAGGATACTTTATAAAACAAGGTAACATTTTTTTTTTATTTTTTTTTATTTTTACACACATATTTTGGTTTATCTTCCTTCTACAATCATTATCTGAAAATTAATGACTCAACTTCAAAGTCACCCTGTATATATATCAATAAAATTAGCATTTGATATGACAAGTGCGGTTCATATATCTTCGATAACCTTCTCCCTCGTCATTTAAAATCAGGTGGACGTGTTCCTCCGTTTATGATTTATTAATTTAACTCAATTTTCAGCACTGCGAAGACAAATTTTCAATTGAGATGCCCGTTTTTTAAATGACATTGACATAAGACCTGTCACCCGCTAGTACCTCACAGACGTTAGGCGGGTACCCGTACCACGTGATTTTTTTGACATTCGGATGACAACACATCCGTCTTCCCCTATTCTCGTTCTTCGCGAAAATTTGAGTATCGGTTCCCGGTAGTGCACTGTGCCACATCGTGGACTCGCGAAAAAATCCTTAAAGTGATAGCGCACCTCCGCAACGAAATGTCATGACATGCAGTGTTGCCAAGTCTGGTGAAATTGTGATTATTTTCTAATGGATACGAATATTCGAATGTTGTGCGAGCTCAGAAACTGTGACTCGATCTCATCAAGCCGGGACTTCATGTGGGCCCCACAAGCAGAGAAATATCTTCGAAATATGAACAGAATTGGGAATCTGTCTCGGGAGGGGGGCGCAGCGATGGTCGCAAGAGGTTTTGCTGCACTGATAACCGGTTAAGCGGCGCTTTCATAGCAAATGTCTATGTGATAATTGGAAAGCGGGAAGAGGGATACGTTTAAAAGGGACGTACGGAACGTCTCACTATTCGGGTCTAGCAAGGCAATTTTCAGAAGATGCAAAATAAAAGTTTTCTGATGAAAAATCGGCAGACTTGGGCGCCTTCAGAGTATTTTTGAAAGTCCAAGATATAATGGATTGATTCGTATAATATATTCCATCCTTGACCTCTTTGCAGGCACTCATTTGATTTTTTTATACTCGAACTACCACGAAGGCCTAAGCACCCATTGGGTACCGTGGGGCTATAGGGGGATACATGGAAAGGCGGAACGCCACACGGACTCTGGCGAGGGAACACGTGTGCATGCAACATGCACACATTCTGGCTCCGCCTACGAGAGTAGCCGGGTGGTACCTCCGCGTTCGACAGTCAGAGACCGTCTACCACCTACGGACAATCACAACATCCATAGCCGCACAGCGCACGGCGACTGATCAGGAGACCGAAGTCTACTATTGCGGCCACCGCTGCTGCATGGATGTTGTTGAAAATAAAACGAATATCTTAAGAAGGCAACATAGCACATTCCAACAATATTTGTGTCTTATCCTCATTTAGCTTCATCAGTGGCGTACACATTTACAACACCCTGTATCTTGGTAATGTTTATAAGAACTTTTTTGTTATTTTTTTATTTATTTCCTTCTCTAGAAATATTGCCATTGCTTTCCAATCACGCGCTGTATTTTCCACAATTGTGTGAGCCCAGGATTTTTAAGGGAATAAAAATAAATAATATGCACAACAATGTATTTTACTCGAAACCAATGCAATATACTCAATTTGTTTCTTAATTATATGATTAACTAAACTTATTTTACTTGTGAATGTCTCGTTAGAGCGAATTCACACACTGACATTATAGCTACTATACCCTATTTCACGAGTATCCATCACGCTTTGACGTCTACTGAGGTGAACAGCTGATCAGCACGTGACATGTTTGTGTTGGTCTGAAACGTTGGCAATATTGAATCGGGTGTAAATCTAGCAAAACCTGTTTATAGGGTTTTTTTGTATGAACTTTTCTAAAAAAGAGCTGTTAGCAAGTACAAAATGAATCTGTAGCGTACAAAAAATCGAAACATAATTCGGCTCTGTCTACCTGGCGTTGACGGATCCGTCAGAATTAGGTCTCCTGTGCCAATATGGGGAATTTAGAGATATTACTAGATAATCAGCTGTCATTCTACCGTAATGGATACTCGTGAAATAGGGTATATCGACACAAAGTATGGACTTTACTAGAAACTGATGCAATATACTCGGGATGATTTACAATAATTATATGATCGTTTAAATTTGGCTTATATTTGTATGTCTTGTCACAGTGAATACACGTTTTAAATTTTAAGCTAAGAGATACCTAGAGCCCCTTGATGTTTTCTCATATGTTTAGTAAAACTACCTTTTGAAGTGCTTTTGAATACACAATACTTACATTCATGTATTTTACTTGAAACTGATCCAATGTACTCAGGATGTTTCTTAATTATATGATCATCTAAACTTGTCTTATATCTGTACATTGCTTTACAGTGAATACACATTTTAAGATGACATCCACCTTCTGCCCCTGGATGCTTCATAATATGTCTGTCTAAATGAAACTTTGAGGTGGTTTTAAATGCACAATATTTACATTCATGTATTTTACTTGAAACCCTTGCGATATACTCTGGATGTTTCTTAATTATATGATCATCTAAACTGGTCTTAGAATTAAATTTCACATTACACTGGATACACGTTTTGAGCTCACAACCTTTTGCCCCTGGATGGTTCCACATGTGTTTAGACAAATGACTTGATGAGGTGGATTTAAATATACAATATTTACATTCATATATTTTACTCGAAACTAGTGCAACATACTCTGGATGTTTCTTAATTATATGATTATCTAGAGTTGTTTTATGTCTGAATTTCCCCTTGCAGTGGACACATTTATTAGGCTTATAGTCACCTCCTGCCCCAGGATGTTTCAGCATATGTCGAACTAAACTTTCTCTAACAGTAGTCCTATATTTACAATGTGCACATGCATATATATTACTAGAAATGTCAGCAATACAGTCAGGATGTTTCCTGATAATATGATCATCTAAACTTCTTGTTCTTCTAAATATCGCATTACAGTAAATACAGATGTAGTGCTTGTGGTTTATGATATGATCATCTAAATCTTTCTTTGATGCAGATGTTGTGTTACACCTATTAAGTTTGTAGACAGCTTCTGCCCCTAAATGCTTCTCCATATGTTTAGTTAAACAATTCTTTAAAGTGGTTTTAAATACACAATATTTACATTCATGTATTTTACTGGAAACTAACGAGGTATAATTAGGATGTTTCTTGATTATATGATCATCTAAAGTTGCCTTCCATCTGAATGCCCTATTACAGTGAACACACTTTTTAAGCTTATAGCCACCATCTGCCCCAGGGTGTTTCAGCATATGATGCGCTAAATGATCATTCCTGGTAGTCCTATATTCACAATGTGTACATGTGTGTATTTTGCAAGAAACCTCAGCAATCTTGTCAGGATGTTGCTTGATAATATGATCATCCAAAGATCTCTTTTTTCTGAATGTCACATTACAGTGACTACACAAATGGCTTCCCGTTGTACTAGGATGTTTTATAATATGATCATCTTCATTTTTAATTTCATACTCCTCAGTGATTTCTGTAATTCCACAGAAATCATTGTCCAACTTCAAATCTTCAACAGCTTCACATTTTATCCAAGGGTTAGTGAAACAATTGCCATTTGTTGTGCTACAAGTAGATAATACAAGATGCAATAATATGAACATAAAAACTAGAGATTTTCAATGTAGTGTAGGATGCCTACTTTCAGGGGGTACTGGCATCACTGCCTTCCTGGTCTGTACACCACTTGGAATTGACTTCAATTTGACATCAACAACTAATCCAAAAGCTATGAAAGAGACATTTCAAAATTTTCTGATGTAACTAATTTGATTGGCTATCTATAAATACATGAAGAATGGCCTTTTTGTAAAAGATTGGGGCACTTGCATCACATACATTCACATTTGAGCTGATGCTCCATTAAATTCTAGAGTATATGTAGCTGTTAGCTCGTAATACAAAATAATCACCTGTTCAAAATAATTTCTGTGTTTTTATTTGTGAACCTTTGTACATCATTCTTATTTTTATCTTGCCCTTTGAGAACTTCCTCACCAGCAAACCTCATGAGAGCATGATCATCATTTGCTTTTGTATTATGTGCGTCGTAGAATCTAAAACATTTCAGATAGAAAATACGAATGTTTATGGAACTGCTGATTTTGAACTATCACCTATCCAAAACAGTGTTTGCTGCAGCTGTATCAATACTTTGGGCAAACTCATCTTTAATAAATACTTGGGCGATTTGAGGAGCTCCAAATTCTCTATTAAAGTCATTCTCTGCGTCTATTTTTTCTTCTTTTATCCCAGAAACTTCCCCATTTTCACTTTTAAATGTAAGTTCATGAGTTATTTGGTTGTCATTTTCCATCTTCATTTTTTGTATCTTAAAAGTTGCCCCATTCTCACGTTTAATCGTAAGTTCATGGGTGATCTGGGTTACTTCAAATTCTTTGACGTCCAAGTGATTTTGTGTTTCCATTTGTTTTTTCTGGACACTCCAGAAATCCTCGACGCTCGACAACCTTAGAAATCAGGTATCACAACAAAAAAACAAAACAAATGTGTCATAAAAAGTGACAGCTCACCTCTGCCCACAAAGTGATGAGGGCGCAGTGTTGCCATGTCGGCTGAAATTCTGATTCTTTTCTGACAATATACGAATATTCTAATGTTAAGAGCTCAGACACAGGCTCCATCTAACCCACCCGGCACCTTTATTACATGAGTCAAAACATTAAAAAGTGATGTTACGTCGACTTTTTGTGACATTGTAGGTTTTCTTATAAAATGTCACCTTTGAACTGTATGATATTCACTTCATGCTCACTTGTAGCAGCGGAATGAACTAGCGGCTACCTAGTGCACAAGTTGACGTCTCGTAATAATAATAATATTGTTGATACTGCCGTACCTAGGTAAAAAACGTAAAGTTCATTTACTGAAAATGTTTTGTATGTGATGCGTCAACCTCTCTTCAGAAAGGACAACACATAATTAACCCGCCTGGCACAGCTAATAATAACAAGGATCACGGTTTCATAGGCGATCCCACCACCTCCGCGGTCCAGATACCCCCACTCTTTCCGGCCCAAGTGGACTGAGTGCTCCTGTCGGACGCAAATCCCCCCCAGCAATTTTGCCCTTTAAAGTTTCGCTTTATCCCCCCTCGGAATTTTACCCCGCCGAAAAGTAGTGTAAGCTAATCTCGACGCGGATGCTCGGCTGCGGAACGTGGTCATTTATATCCTTTGGTTTCACGAGTCGTCCTCTATTTGGCTTCCATCGGTGGGACCTTGATCTGAGGTCCAAGTTAAGGTTTGCACAGCTTAAGGCGCAATTCCACTGAGGCAACTTTTGGGCAACATGTAGCATACGGCATTGACGCATGCTGCACACTGTCTTTTATAGAGGCAACACAAAGCGACAAAAAAATCTCTTCTTGCCGGATGCCACAATTTGCCCGTTGTTGCTTCTCGAGGACGCCGTCAGCGACATGAATCCACGTGTTGATCAGTCTCACCGGCTATCCAAACCCGTTCGGATCGGTGCGGCTTGTAGCAGGCGACAAAATGGAGTGGACCAATGAAGAAACATTATCTTTAATTGAAGATTACCATAATTTGGATGAATTATGGAATAACAAATCGGAAAGATAAGATGCACGAGTAAAGCAGGATACATTACAGGAGGCAAAAATAGTTGGTGGCTACGGCCACTCTTGCTAGCGTACAGTACCTTCAGTCTTTTAGACGTATACGATTGTTTGCTTCTTGTCCAGCTGTCTCCTTGACTTACCAGTAGTAGACGAGGCTGACCTAAACCGCACTGACGAGGGCTAATGAGCCCGAAACAGTACTGTCTGGGGTTGGTTGTAGTTTCAGGGGGACAAGAAGGAAACATCTTCTCATTTTTTTTCCATAGTTGGCTTATTTATCAACGGTTGATTTCTTTAAATAGGAAAATACAACTATTCGGTATTCAAAATTGCTTGGTTCAGATATCTGAAACAGATAAATAAGCGATAGATAACTATCACCCGTAGCCAAATATCTTGGTGTCACTAGCATCTCACGCGGGGCGTTATTGCTTCCCGAAAGTTGGCATCACATTTTTTTTATTATAAGTAAGATTTTTTCAAGTAAGTAGTGAAAATCGTCTTTACCCATCCGTGTGAAATATCGGAATAAAGCATCATCGTCAGCCACCAAGTTGTTGTACAAATTATACTGAATTTCTTGACTATCTACGTATATATTTCTTCTCCAATATTCTGGTGTTTTTCTTTTCCGTTCCGAAGAAATTACTAAATAAGCAGTCGCTGCGACTGTCTGTAATGACTGATGACATGGCGGACTAAACTGGAGTTGCTTGAATTGAATCGTGAAGACGCATACTACACTCATGTACGGCAAAGCGCATGGCACATAGAGGAACAAAATCCGCATGCGGCATTAATACAATTTTGGGCAACACTGTCGAACGTCAACAAGAGGCAACAAGTAGCATGCCACATGTCGTTCATTGTTGCCTCAGTGGAATTGCGCCTTTATAAACAAATTTATATTATTTTGTTGTCACCCCAAAAAAAAGTGGTATACCGGCTATTTCACGAGTATCCATCACGGAACAATGACAGCTAGTTATCTAGTTATATTTCAAAATTCCCAATACCGACACAAGACACATAATTCTGACGGATCCGTCAACGTCAGTTAGAGCTGTATTTTGTTCAGGTTTTTTGTACTCAAAGATTCATTTTGTACTTCTTAACAGCTCTTTTATTTAGAAAAGTGCATTTGCATGCAAAAAAAACAAAACGCTACTAATAAGTTTTGCTAGATTTGCACGCGATTCACTATTGTCAACGTCGCAGACCAACACAACAATGTCACTTCCCTATGCATTTGGTGGGATTCCTGTTGCTGGATAGAGGAAGAAAAAAATCACAAAATAAGATTGGATTACCAAAAGTGTTTTATTATTATTATAATATGATCTACATAGTACAGAGACAATCTATAATGACTATTTCCCTACTTCATGCATGGATACAATACTTTAGCGTAAAACGGCTGATGAAAATTACAAATTGGATGCTATGTCATCTTACAATTAAAAACACACAAAATATCGGCACCATGTTCAGTTAACACTAATCAGATTACAAATTGAATGAAACGTGATATCCTTTATAATCCGTGAATACAAATTATCAATTTTCAAAATTTCGGACTGACAGGTTGCCAAAGTTGAATGTCCACTAAAATGCTTACCATTTGATCAAGGCTCAAAACGCTATATCATCGAAACACTATGCTTGCCCATATGTCTCGTGAAATGATCTTTTGAGGTGGTTTTGAATATACAATATTTACATTCATGTATTTTACTTGAAACTGATGCAATATATTCAGGATGCTTCTTGATTGTATGATCATCCAAATTTTTGTTACATGTGAATGTCGCGTTACAGTGAATACAAGTTTTAAGCTCACATTCACCTTCTACTCCTGGATGCTTCCGCATATGACTATTGAAATGACTTTTTAACGCAGTTTTAAATTCACAATATTTACATTCATGTATTTTACTTGAAACTGATGCAATATATTCAGGATGCTTCTTAACCGTATGATCATGCAAACTTTTTTTACATGTGAATTTTGCGTTACAGTGAATACACGTTTTACGTTCACAGCCACCATCTGCCCCTGGATGCTTTCCCATATGCATAGCTAAACGATCCTTTAAGGTGGTTTTAAATACACAATGCTTGCATTCATGCATTTTACTTGTAACTGATGAAATATACTCAGGATGTTTCTCAATTATATGATTATCTAAAGTTGTTTTATTTTTGAATGTAGTGTTACAGTGAATACACGTTTTAAGGTTACAGGCAGCTTCAGACCCAGAATGCTTCCCCATATGACTAACTAAATGGCTTTTTAATGCAGTTTTAAATCCACAATATTTGCATTCATGAATTTTACTTGAAACCAAGGCAGCATATTCCGGATGCTTCTTAATTGTATGATCATCTAAACCTTTTTTATATTTGAATTTCGCGTTACAGTGAGTACAAGTTTTAAGCTCACGGCCACATTTTGCCTCTGGATGCTTGCCCATATGACTATCTAAATGAAATTTTGAGGTGGTTTTAAATACACAATATTTACATTCGTGTATTTTACTTGAAACTGATGAAATATACTCAGGATGCTGCTTAAGTATATGATTCTCTAAACCATTTTTAGATTTGAATCTCGCGTTACAGTGATTACACGTTTTAAGCTCGCAGTCAGCTTCTGCTCCTGCATGTTTACCCATATGTCTAGCTAAATCAAATTTGGAGGTGGTTTTAAATATACAATATTTACATTCATGTATTTTACTTGTGATGGATGCAATATATTCGGGATGTTTCTTAATTATATGATCATCTATTCCTTTCTTACATTGGAATGTCGCATTACAGTGAATACACGTTTTACGTTCACAGCTACCTTCTGCCTTTGAATGATTGCGCATATGTCTGACGAGATGGCTTTTTAAGGCAGTTTTAAATACACAATATTCACATTCATGTATTTTACTAGACACTGTCGAAATATACTCAGGATGTTTTTTAATTATATGATCATTCAAACCTTTCTTACATGTGAATTTTGCGTTACAGTGAATACACGTTTCACCTGGATGCTTCTCCATATGACAATCTTTCAAGGTGGTTTTAAATACACAATCTCCTTCTTCTGCCCCATGGTATCTCATCATATGTTTAGCTAAATGAATTTTTTTGGCAGTTTTAAATAGACAGTATTTACATTCATGTATTCTATTTGAAAGTGATGAAATACACTCAGGATGTTTCTTAATTATATGATTATTTAAATTTGTTTTACTTGTGAATGTTGCATTACAGTGAGTACACATTTTACGTTCACAGCCACCTTCTGCTCCTGGATGCTTTCCCATATGATTAACTAAATGGCTTTTTAAGGCAGTTTTAAACACACAATATTTACATTCATGTATTTTACTTGAAACTGATGCAATATATTCAGGATGCTTCTTAATTATATGATCATCTAAACCTTTCTTACTTGTGAATGTTGTGTTACAGTGAATACACGTTTTAAGCTCACATCCACCTTCTGCCCCTGGATGCTTCCCCAGATGACTAACTAAATGACTTTTTAAGGCAGTTTTAAATTCACAATATTTGCATTCATATATTTTTCTCGAAATGGTTGCAATATACTCGGGATGTTTCTTGATTATATGATCATCTATACCTTTCTTACATTTAAATGTTGTGTTACAGTGAATGCATATTTTAACCTCGCAGCCACCTTCTGCCCCTGGATGCTTGCCCATATGTATAGCTAAGCGATCTGTAAAGGTGGTTTTATATACACAATATTTGCATTCATGTATTTTACTTGAAACTGATCCAATATACTCAGGATGTTTGTTAATTATATGATTATCTAAAGTTCTCTTATATCTGAAAGTCGCATTACAGTGAATACATACATTGGGCCTACAGCCGCTTTCTGCCATAGGATGTTCCAAAATTTGATCATTTTCATTTTTGATTATGTATTCCTCAGTGATTCCTGTAATTCCAAAGGTTTCAGAGTCCAAATCATTTTCCAACTTTAATTCTTCAACAGTTTCACATTTAATCCAGGATTTTAAGGACTCATTCTCATTTGCTGTCCTAAAAAAGAGTTTAAATATAAACTGCATATTTGACACATATTTGCAAACTGAAACAACATTTCTGATATGATTGGTATTTAATGATCAACTAATCTATTAAAAAATACATCTATTCTATGAAAATTGGCTATTAGTGAAGAATGAGACAAAATCCGCACTAAAATTGCAGCTGATGCTCTAATAAATCCTGATCTATGAAAGAGAGTACAACTAGCTTCTACCTAAAATGTGATTAAAGAAAAAAACAATCAATCACCAATCTGAAACAACTTTTTTGTTTTCATTTGTGAACCTTTGTACATCATCCTCCTCATTTTTAATAGTCATGAGGTCAGAACTTTCGGTAATTTTGTATTTGTTATCTGTATCCTTTTGCACCTCTATTTTTGAATCTTCTATTTTGAAAACTCGCTCGCTAGTCACGAAAACATGATTAAAATTTGCTTTTGTATCATGTGCATTGTAGGTTCTAAAACATTTCAGATAAATAATATCTACAGAACACCTGATTTTCGAGAGTCACCTATCAGAGACAGTGTCAGCATCTTCCATATTAATAGATTGGTCATACTCATCTTTGATGAATACACGGGTGATTTGAGCAACTCCAAATTCCTCTCTATTGTAGTCGTTTACAGCTACTTTTTCTTTTTTTATCTCAAAAACGTCCCCATTCTCAGCTTTAAAAGTAAGTTCATGGGTTATTTGGGTAGTGCCTTCAAATTTTTTACGGTCCAAGCAATTTTCCAGTTCCATTTTTTCTTTGAAGTCACTGGAGAAATGTTCCTGATCCCCAGAATAAAAATTACAAATATCATAACAAAAACAAAACTGTTAGAAAGTGACAGTTCACCCGCGAATGGTCAGATGTCAGGTCAATCCGAGTAGGCAGCGTTGCCAGTCTTCATTATTTTCTGATTAAATACGAAACTCGGCTCGATCTAAGCACAATCCATTGAAATTCGCATAGTTAGTATGGTATTACTTACAAATTGGCGATTTATATGATTAAATAACCCACCAGAGGCGGAACAGTCAAGTGAAAATCGTAATAACAGACTACAACATGTACACTGTGTTTTATTATTAAAAACAAAAGGATTGTATAAAACAGTGGTCGCCAACCTTTTCGGTATTGAGCTACTTTGATAATTTTGGAATAAGCTAACTTCAATGAAATTATTCACAATTGTATGCGACATACATGTGTTTATTTTACTCATACTAATACATACTGATAAACTTAAATAAACTAATAACTAATACATCACTACATCCATTCCTACGAATCGTAGGTATTTGAACAATAAACAAAAATTTCGTTAGCTACAATGGCATGCCACATACGATTTAATAAAGGTAACTAAAAATAAAAAAGCAACGCACTATTTTGAACAAAAACATGTCCAAATAAAAAATTAGGAAATGATTTTAAAGCTAAATCATTTTGAAATGCAATTACTTCCATTTCTGTCGCAGCGATGTCTGCGCTAAAATTCTGCGCAACAGAAGTTGCAAACTGCTGGATATCAATTTTCATGAAGGGTGAAACAACAAATTACGCCACTATAGCAGTTTCGTTGATTTTTGGAGTTATCCTTCAAGTTAGAGACTATTTCTACATGATATTTACTGTCATATGGATCTAACTGACTTTGAGATATCTTTTCTGAAAGAAGAGAAAAATGCCTGGTATCGCCATCGATTAAGTTTTGTTCCCAAAACTCAAGCTTTTTGATGAACGCTTTTATATCCCAAATGATTTCTGCTAGTTGTTTGTCTCTCCCCTGAAGCTGCAAATTAAGTTTAATTTTTTTGTAATATCCACAAGAAAACCAAAATCTCTAAGCCGGATTGAATTTTGCAGTTCTTGAATCGGTTCATCATGTTTGAAAAATTGAACTATGGCAGATATGATATCATTAAAACGTTTCAGCATGCACACACACCGATTTGGACGGCCGGTAAAATATCGGCCTACCACATTTTAATAGTAAACCATTGGAGGGCATTGAAGCTTGCACACTGGCCGACCACCGACCGGCACCGGAAAAAAGTCGCTTAGCAACCGGACATTGTCACTGTGATGCGCCGGTACCGGGAATATAGAGGCATACGTGTTTTAATAGGAGCTTGCACACTCATCTATTATTTAATGGCCGTGATTACGACTGCATATACGTTTACAATGGATAAAGAGATGAACATCGATAATGACCTACTTATCGCACTAGTGGAAGCAAGACCAGTTTTATGGGATATAAGTTTGAACATATTTAAAGGCAGAAACACTACTAGAGAAGCATGCAGCCAACTTTGCTGTGAACTGAATGAGGATTTTAAAGAGAAATTCATTGAAAATAATATTGGAAATCAGCACTGCACCGGTAAAAAACCGGCGCGTGTGTAAGCAGTGCCTACCGATAAAAAATCGGTCGATAATTTACCGGCCGTCCAAAATCGGTGTGTGTGCAAGTAGGCGACCGGTACGGACGGCCGGCGCACAACGCACTGCTCTCGCGCATCGTGTATAAACAAACATCTGCGGTTTCGAACGTGTGTTTTGTATTGTTTGCAATAGTAAGTCGTTCGATTTTCTTTTTTTAACAAATCTTTATTCAACAGTCAATTTTTACAAATTTTATAGAAGACATAGTTTTCTAATCTGTGTTTAAGCACTAACCTCGAGAACAACAATATTTGAAGTGCGAATTTTAGCTACGATAAATTCAACAATTCAAGTGACCTTTAGGTGTCTTTATATAATTCCTGAATATATGTACATTTACGTTATTTGGTAGGTTATTATAACTTTTGCTGTATCAGTGACGGGGTTATTTAAACCCATATTGGATCTAGTAGGAATCTGGTACAAATTATTATGTGATCTTGATTCATGGTTATGCACATCATGTGTGAACAGAATGTTTTATTATACTTTGGTTGGTTATTTTAAATTTTGAAAATCATTTAACAGTGTTCTAATTCCCAACAGCTTAACTAATTTACAAACATTCAATTCCGTATACATATCCGTCTTGGCAAGTCGGTCATACTTGAACAAAATTTTTAATATTCTATTTTGCGAAACCTGTGTTTAACCACACATATTCTCGAAATATGCAACATATATCTAAAGTGTGCCAATAAAAATGCAGTATAAATGTTCATTTTACTTTTTGTAGTTAGGTAGTCTTCGCTTCTCTACAAAGCAGCTATCATCGACGTTGTTTTATAAAAAAAAGAAATGTGACTAGACCAATTAAAATGGTCATCGATGATTACATTTCATGTTTGATACTTTTCCTTCTATAACATTATTTATTCTTATACAAAAGTTTTGATTATATTTTTCTGTTCAAAAATTAGATATTTTGTTTTATCGATGTTAATCTTTAGTTTTTTAGTAGAAAAATAATTAAACAACTTTCTTGTAGATAGACGTTAACCTTATTTTTATTTGAAGCTTCAGTCAATTAATATCAAATAAAGCTCACGTTTACGCATACTATATCTGCGATTGCCGTAACACACTGCTTACAGCGATACTGAAAGTCAATCCTGACGTTTATTTAAGAGCTCCTTTGTGTTAATTCTATGTTGTTTTGTATTGTAAATCGTTCGACATTCTGCAGACCATCACCAACTAACGCTGTTTATACTACGCGGTTAAGTTCGATTCTACTAACAATCTATCTGCCTTAGACACCAATAAAGCACAGGTAATGTCTTATTGCATCAGTAGATAACTGTTTATTCCTCTAAAACAGCGATGGTTGCCTCTAATACCATAAGACAATACATTGACCTCTTAGTTAAATGTAACGAGAACAGTGTGTGTGTTGACATTGGTATTCTAAAGCTCTATTACTTTTCCTATGTTCATTCAATGTTCCTCCTGTGTTTCAAATTTCTTACTCTTGTAAAGAATTATTCAAACAATTGAGGATAATGACAGTTATTTCTTTATAAACCCTATTTCTCGAGTATCAATCACGAGTTGACGTCTACTACGTAGGTTCATGTCCTTCCGGTCTGATTCCAAAGAAACATCTCTGGAGCAGGAAACACTGCTGCGGACAAAAGCCACAACTCCCCCCTTCGTTCTCAGATTGGTGTGCACCTCGTACAATCACTTAAACGGGAAGAACTTGTATTCTGGATACAACAACTTCCGGAACAGGCATTTGCCACGGCCCCGCTCAATAGGGGCTGGTTATCTAGTAATATTTAAAAAAAAGACCAGGTAAACAAAGCCGTATTTCCTTTTTTAAGCTACAGATTCATTTGTACTTACTAACAGCTCTTTTATTTGCAAAAGTTCATTTGCATTCAAAAAACAAAACGTCACAAACAAGTTACTAGATTTACACCCGGTTCATTATTGCCAACGTCACAGACTAACACAAAAACGTCACTTGCTGATCAGCTGTTCATCTCAGTAGACGTCAAAGCGTGATGGATACTCGTGAAATAGGGTGTATCTGCATCAGAATGTGAATAACATGATCACCCAAACGTCTCTTAGCTTTGAACATTGCGTCAAAGTGAATACATGTTTCAGGCGAACCACCACTTTCCTTCCAATGATAGATAATATGCTAAGAAAACTTAGCTTTGAATGTAGTTTTCTACATACCACATATGCATTCATCGACTTTACTAGAAGGGATGCAATATACTCGGGATGATTTACAATTGTGATCATTTATCACGGTGAATAAACATTTTAAGCTAAGAGGTATCTTGAGCCACTTGATGCTTTCTCATATGTTTAGTAACATTACGTTTTGAAATGCTTTTGAATACACAATACTTACAATCATATATTTTACTTGAAACCGATCCAATGTACTCAGGATGTTTCTTAATTATATGATCATCTAAGCTTATCTTATATCTGAACATTGCTTTACAGTGAATACACATTTCAAGCTGACATCCTCCTTCTGCCCCTGGATGTGTCCTCATATGTCTATTTAAATTAAACTTGGAGGTGGTTTTAAATATACAATATTTACATTCATGAATTTTACTTAAAACTAGTGCAATATACTCGGGATGTTTGTTAATTATATGATCATCTAAACTTGTCTTCCATCTGAATCCCCTATTACAGTGCATACACTTCTTAAGCTTATAGCCACTATCTGGCCCAGGGTGTTTCAGCATGTGACGAGCTAAATGATCGTTCCTGATAGTTCTATATTCACAATGTGTACATGCGTATATTTTACGAGAAACCTCAGCAGTCATGTCAGGATGTTGCTTGATAATATGATCATCTAAAGATCTCTTTTTTTTGAATGTCACATTACAGTGATTACAAATATTGAGCATATGGCTCCCTGCTGCACTAGGATATTTTACAATATAATCATCTTCATTTTTGATTATGTACTCCTCAGTGATTTCTGCAACTCCATAGGATTCAATGTCCAAATCACTTTCCAACTTCAATTCTTCAACAGCTTCACATTTTATCCAAGGGTTAGTGAAATCATGCCCATTTGTTGTGCTACAAGTGGATAATACAAGATGCAATAGTACAAACAAATTTGAAAATATTAGAGAAACATGTGCAAAGTAAATCATCATTTCTGACTTTTTAGGTAAGTCATATCCATGTATAGTGCACAAGGTGTTGTAGTTTGCCTGCCTACTTTCAGGGGGTTTTGGCACCATTACCTCCCCCCCCCCCCTGGAACCATGTCTGTACACAACTTGGAATTGACTTCAATTTGAAATTAACAACTAATATAAAAGCTACAAAAGATCCATCTCAAAATTTTCTGATGTCACCAATTTGGTTGGCTATCTAAACAAACATGAAGAATGGCATTTTTTAAAAGAACAATGGGGCATGAGCGTCACATACATTCACATTTAAATTACAGCTGATGCTCTACCAAATCCTAATATATAAATTTAGCTGCTAACTTGTAACATAGAATAATTACCTGTTTAAAATAATTTCTGTCTTTTCATTTGTGAACCTTTGTACATCATTCTCATTTTTAATAGTCACTTGGTCAGAATTTTTTGTAATTTTGTATTTGCTGGTGTCTGTATCCTTTTCCAATTTTATTTTTTTATCTTGCCTTTTGAGAGCTTCCTCACCAGTCTCTTCAACCCTCATGAAAGCATGATCAACATTTGCTTTCATATTATGTGCATTGTAGAATCTAAAACCCTTCAGTTAAAAAATAAGAATTTTTACGGAACTGCCGATTTTGAAATATCACCTATCCAAAACAGTGTCTGGTGCATCTGTATCAATACTTTGGTTAAAATCATCTTTAATAAATACTTGGGTGATTTGAGCAACTCCAAATTCTCTACTAAAGTCATTCTCTGCCTCTATTTTTTCTTCTTTTATCTCGAAAACTCCCCCATTTTCACTTGTAATATTAAGTTCATGGGTTATTTGGCCAACTTCAAATTTTCCATTACATGCACTGTGGATTCTAAAAACATTTTAGATGATAAGTAACTTTTACAGAGCAGTTGATTTTGAAGAATCACCTATGTGAAACAGTGTCTGCAGTTTCTGTACCAATGCATTGGTACTCATCGTTAATAATCACATGGACAAGTTGGTCGACTCCCAATTCCTTTCTATCCAAGTCATTTTCCACCTTCATTTTTTCTTTTTGTATATCAAAAGTTGCCTCATTCTCGCGTTTAATTGTAAGTTCATTTGTGATTTGGGTTACTTCAATTTTTTTGCCGTCCAAGTAATTTTGCGGTTCCATTTTTTCTTTCTGGACGCTCGGAAAACCCTCTACCCACGACAATCTTTTCGTACCATAAAAATGGCAACATAAAATAAAACAATTGTGCTACAAAACGTGACAGCTCATCGTCTGTGCCACTAAGTGGTACGGCGCCGTGTTGCCAGGTCTCATTATTTCTATCTGACTATACAGGGTTATCCAAATTAAGTGTCCACCATTGGTAACTTTGTTATTAGTAAAATACAAAGTTGTTAAATTAGCAAACTAGTAGCATTTTTAACGCTGGTAAAAATGAGAAATAAAAAAAAAACAATTGAGAGTCGTTATTTTGATTTTTTTCAGTAAAATAACATTTTTTAAATGGAAACCCCTGTATATTATATTTTTTTCTGTTAAAGCATCAAATTTTAAACAAAAAAGTTCATAATGACTTTTCCGCTAAAGTCAAAAATAAAGTCAAAATAACGATAAATATTTTAATTATTTGCAGTATTATAATATTAAGACGGCTATGAAAACAACATGGCGTTCGCGATTTGACAGCATTAAGATAAGCGACAAATTGTTAAACTGGACATACTCGCAACTAGAAGGCTTTGGAAAATAATGATAAAATCAAATAATGTCAAACATTAGTGTAAATACTTGTTTATAAGCTTTATTGTGTCATTAATTTAAAGAAAAATGTTCTCCCATGAAGAAAAGTGTGATATGTTAGAATGCTATTTAGTGTGCAGAAAATCCTCCTTGAGAGCAAGAGAATACTACAGTGAATTATATCCCGCTCGCATTCAACCGTATGAACGATATTTTCTGAGACTTTATCGAAAATTTAGGGGCAACGAATATGTTTTTGCTAAAACAAGGGCAAAAAAAGAATTCATAATAAGCGAGGCCACGGAAATTGCAGTTATTGGATATTTTGAAGCTTATCGTGAGAATTCAATAGCAGATATTCTCAAGGACTCTAATTTCAGTTATGGTACTGTTCAAAGGATTTTAAAAAAATACAAATTTATTCCGTATAAGTGCCGACCAGTTCAAACGCTTTTGGCAGGGGATCCAGAGAGAAGACTTGTTTTTTGCCATTGGTATCTTAGCTTCTGTCGCCAAAATGTAAATAACTTTCGTTACCTTTTATGGACAGATGAGTCAAATTTTTCAAATTCTGGAATGTTTAATAGAAAAAAACACCATTATTGGCCAAGAGAAAATCCTTAGTTAGTACATCCAAGAGGCCCACAAGTCCGTTTCAGTTTCAACGTTTGGTGCGGTATAATTGGTTCAAAAATTGTTGGCCCGTTCTTTTATGAGGGAACCCTAACTGGTGAAAGATATGTGGAATTTATGTCAGAAATTCTGACTAATTTCTTAGACGAATTGGATCTTATAAGTAGACATCATCTGCATTTTCAGCAAGATGGCGCACCTGCCCACAACTCCAGAGGTACTTATCATTTTCTAAGTACTACTTTTAATGATCAGTGGATAGGAACAAATGGCCCAATACAGTGGCCTCCCAGATCACCAGATCTAAACCCACTTGATTACTTCTTGTGGGGTTACTTAAAGAACCAAATTTACAAGCGAAGGTACGATAACCTTGACGCGTTAAAGACTGCAGTTAGGGAAAAGATAACCCAGATAGATGGTAGGACCATACTTAAGACAGTTCGAGCAGTTGAAAAACGTGCCCAAAAATGTATTGAAGAACAAGGTGGTGTTTTCGAGCATCTTCTTTAAAAAAAATTGTTATTGTATTTTGTAAGATTATAAGTTGATGTTGAAAATAAAGTTTGTCGATACAATTTAATTGTTTCAGATTGGAGGCCATAACTTCAACAATTTGTAACCTAGGAGAAAAGTTATTGTAAGCTTTTTTGTTTAAAATTTGTTTTTTTTTTATTTCTCATTTTTACCAGCGTTAAAAATGCTACTAGTTTGCTAATTCAAACAACTTTGTATTTTCACTAATAACAAAGTTACTAATGGTGGACACTTAATTTGGATAACCCTGTATAACGAACATTCTAGTGTTAAGAACACAGGCTCCATCTAACCCAGTCGGCACCTTTATTACGTAACTCAAAACACTGAAAAATGAAGTTAAGTCGATTTTTTATGATATTGTAGGTTTTGCTATAAAATGTTACCTATGAACTAGATCACATATAATAATAATAATATCGTCTATACCGACGTAAAGTTTATTTACTGAAAATGTTTTGTGTGTGTGATGCGTCAACCTCCCTTCAGAAAAGACAACACATAAACAACCTGCCAGCTAATAGATATACTTCATGGGCAGCATGTTCAGTAATAATTTTCTCACATAGCAAATATCACTGATTTTATATACATGTAGACCAATACACACAATCAGCGAGATGTGATCTTGCCACTCAACCATGTCCTTTCTTTCACATCTCAGAGATACATACTATCTCGGTATTCTGCAACCAACTAAGCACGCTGTCGTTGAGTAATTCCTCCATAGGTGACGCTACAGCTACACTAGCAGCTATATAATCGGTAAGTTGACATTTTGTCTTTTTTTTTTGACATTATATAGGTTTTTTGCGTAAGAGCCGTGTCGGCAGCCTTAGAACACTGGAGTTGAGCATGCTAATAAAATAAGGAAATGTTGATTCATGATTCGTTTTGTTCAAAGATGAACAAAAATATCCCGTCAAGTGCTGCATCCGTAAAACAAAGTTGTCGCTTATAACCGCTCAGGTAAGTTAACTTTTCCAGTATTTCTACTTGCATAATATAAGCACAAACCAAATCGGAACTTATAGAAAGAAGTAGTACGAAAGCATGCGTTACTCCTTACGATGGATCGATAACGGCCTTGTCAATAGAAATATTGATTTGACGACGCTGAATGAAATAAGGCAAATGGGTGTAATTTGTTTACAAAATGTTTTTTATTTTATTTTAGAAATGTGCCTAATTAATTTACAATTATAACTTTGACTATGTAAATAATAAATACATAACTATATTTATGCATTTTCAAATCATTCAAAAATCACTTCTACAGGCGTTGCATTCAGAGAAATCCATATACCACTGAGAGAGTAATGAAATAGAGAAGCGAGTTGCCATTGGTGCACTCTTTCGAACATACGCTTCTCGCTCCTACACATTACCTCGTCAGCTTTTTGGATTTCTCTGCATATACAAGATATCTAACTATTATTTGGCATTGTATACAAATTGTTTACATTGGGACCTGTCAGCCAACGTAAAGCAGTCCAGTGTTATCCAAATTAAGTGTCCACCATTAGTAACTTTGTTATTAGTGAAAATACAAAGTTATTTGAATTAGCAAACTAGTAGCATTTTCAACGCTGGTAAAAATGAGAAATAAAAAAAACAATTGAGAGTCGTTATTTTGATTTTTTTCAGTAAAATAACATTTTTTTAAATGGAAACCCCTGTATATTATATTTTTTTCTGTTAAAGCATCAAATTTTAAACAATAAAGTTCATCATGACTTTTCCGCTAAAGTCAAAAATAAAGTCAAAATAACGATAAATATTTTTAATTATTTGCAGTATTATAATATTAAGACGGCTATGAAAACAACATGGCGTTCGCGATTTGACAGCATTAAGATAAGCGACAAATTGTTAAACTGGACATACTCGCAACTAGAAGGCTTTGGAAAACAATGATAAAATCAAATAATGTCAAACATTAGTGTAAATACTTGTTTATAAGCTTTATTGTGTCATTAATTTAAAGAAAAATGTTCTCCCATGAAGAAAAGTGTGATATGTTAGAATGCTATTTAGTGTGCAGAAAATCCTCCTTGAGAGCAAGAGAATACTACAGTGAATTATATCCCGCTCGCATTCAACCGTATGAACGATATTTTCTGAGACTTTATCGAAAATTTAGGGGCAACGAAAATGTTTTTGCTAAAACAAGGGCAAAAAAAGAATGCATAATAAGCGAGGCCACGGAAATTGCAGTTATTGGATATTTTGAAGCTTATCGTGAGAATTCAATAGCAGATATTCTCAAGGACTCTAATTTCAGTTATGGTAAGGTTCAAAGGATTTTAAAAAAATACAAATTTATTCCGTATAAGTACCGACCAGTTCAAACGCTTTTGGCAGGGGATCCAGAGAGAAGACTTGTTTTTTGCCATTGGTATCTTAGCTTCTGTCGCCAAAATGTAAATAACTTTCGTTACCTTTTATGGACAGATGAATCGAATTTTTCAAATTCTGGAATGTTTAATAGAAAAAACCACCATTATTGGTCAAGAGAAAATCTTTTGTTAGTACATCCAAGAGGCCCACAAGTCCGTTTCAGTTTCAACGTTTGGTGCGGTATAATTGGTTCAAAAATTGTTGGCCCGTTCTTTTATGAGGGAACCCTAACTGGTGAAAGATATGTGGAATTTATGTCAGAAATTCTGACTAATTTCTTAGACGAATTGGATCTTATAAGTAGACATCATCTGCATTTCAGCAAGATGGCGCACCTGCCCACAACTCCAGAGGTACTTATCATTTTCTAAGTACTACTTTTAATGATCAGTGGATAGGAACAAATGGCCCAATACAGTGGCCTCCCAGATCACCAGATCTAAACCCACTTGATTACTTCTTGTGGGGTTACTTAAAGAACCAAATTTACAAGCGAAGGTACGATAACCTTGACGCGTTAAAGACTGCAGTTAGGGAAAAGATAACCCAGATAGATGGTAGGACCATACTTAAGACAGTTCGAGCAGTTGAAAAACGTGCCCAAAAATGTATTGAAGAACAAGGTGGTGTTTTCGAGCATCTTCTTTAAAAAAAATTGTTATTGTATTTTGTAAGATTATAAGTTGATGATGAAAATAAAGTTTGTCGATACAATTTAATTGTTTCAGATTGGAGGCCATAACTTCAACAATTTGTAACCTAGGAGAAAAGTTATTGTAAGCTTTTTTGTTTAAAATTTGATGCTTTAACAGAAAAAAATATAATATACAGGGGTTTCCATTTAAAAAAATGTTATTTTACTGAAAAAAATCAAAATAACGACTCTCAATTGTTTTTTTTTATTTCTCATTTTTACCAGCGTTAAAAATGCTACTAGTTTTCTAATTCAAACAACTTTGTATTTTCACTAATAACAAAGTTACTAATGGTGGACACTTAATTTGGATAACCCTGTATAAAAGCTTTCACAGTTTGCAACATTAATCTGACCGCACCGCAGAACCGCTTTACTTTGAACGATTCCGTTGTATACATGATTCATATGAATATATGATACAATGATGTATTTTATATGTTTCTCTGTAATTAGACCTTGCATTTGTTGAGAAATATATGAATAGAATGAATAAATAAATGATGTATACAATGCGCCCATCATTCGCTACTATCTACATTAGGATGTTTCAACATATGCTGATTTAATTTAGCCTTCAAGGTAGTTTTATACGTGCAATTTATGCATTTATGAACTTTACTTGAAACTGATTCAATATGCTCGGGATGTTTCTCGATTATATGATCATCTAAATTTCGCTTATATGTGAATGTAGCGTTACAGTGACTACACGTTTTACGTTCAAAGCCAACGTGTGCCTCTGGATGCTTCCCCGACATATGACTAACTAAATGACCTTTTATCGCCGTTTTAAATACACAATATTTACATTCATGTATTTTACTCGACACTGATGCGCTGTACTCAGGATGCTTCTTAAGTATATGATCATCCAAATTTGTTTTATACTTGAACGTCGCATTACAGTGAATACACGTTTTATTCTGACATCCACCTCCTGCCCCCATATGTTGATATAAATGACCTGATGATGTGGTTTTAAATGTACAATATTTACATTCGTATATTTTACTTGAAACTAACGAAATATGCTCGGGATGTTTCTTAATTATATGATTCTCTAGAGTCGATTTGAGTCTGAATGCCCCATTACAATGAACACATTTATGAAGCTTATAGTCACCTTCTGCGCCAGGATGTTTCAGCATATGTCGAACTAAACTTTCTTTAATGACAGATCTATGTGTACAATGTGCACATGCATATATTTTGCTAGAAACATTAGCAATAAGGTCAGGATGTTTCCTGAGAATATGATCATCTAAACTTACTTTTTTTTTGAATGTCACATTACAGTGAGTACAGGTATTGAGCTTATGGCTTATGACATGATCATCTAAATCTTTCTTACATGCAAAAGTCTTGTGACAGTGAATACACATTTTATGCTCATCTTCTGTTTCTGCATGCTTGCCCATATGCCTAGCTAAACGATCTGTTAAGGTGGTTTGAAATACACAATATTTACATTTATGTATTTTACTTGAAACTGACGCAATATACTCAGGATGCTTCTTAATTACATGATCATCCAAACTTTTCTTAGAGGTGAATCTCTCATTGCAGTGAATACACATTTCAAGTTGACAGCCACCTTCATCTGCCTCTGGGTGCTTCCTCATATGTCTATCTATATCACGCTTTAAGGTGGTTTTAAATTCACAATATTTACATTTATGTATTTTTGTTGAAACTGATGCAATATAGTCAGGATGCTTCTTAATTATATGATCATCTAAACTTTTCTTAGATGTGAATGTCGCGTTACAGTGAATACACGTTTTAAGCTGGCCACCACCATCTGCCTCTGAATGTTTCCTCATATGTGTATCTAAATTACGCTTCAAGGTAGTTTTGAATGCACAATCTTTACATTCATATATTTTACTTGAAACTAATGCAGTATAGTCAGGATGTTTCTGAATTATATGATCATCTAAAATTGTCTTATATCTGAACTCCCCATCACAGTGGTCACACTGTAAAAGCTTATAGCTACCTTCTAACCCAGGGTGCTTCAGCATATGTTGAACTAAACGTTCTCTCCTAGTAGTTCTATAGTTACAATGCGAACATGCATGTATTTTACTAGAAACCTCAGCAATCAAGTCAGGATGTAACCTGATAATATGATCATCTAAGCTTCGTTTTATTGTAAATGTCACATTACAGTGGATACACATATTAAGCTCTGACCTAGGATGTTTCAAAATATTTTCAATTATGGGTTCCCTATTGATTTCTGTCTCAATGTCCAAATCATTATCCAACCTCAATTCTTCACCAGCTTCACTTTTTATCCAAGGGTTAGTGAAAGCAGGCTCATCTTTTGTGCTGCAACTAGACAATACAATTTTCAAAATATTATTATTAATATATTTCACAATATTAGAAAACATGTACAAAGTAAAGCATGCAATCTGGGATGATTTTTTTTGTTTGATTGTTCGGTAAAGAAAGAATCAGAGGGTTCCTCAAAGAAAAAATGAAAAAGTTACAACCTAATCTTTCATTTTAAAGTAAGAAATAAAGTATTTGCAATATGTGCTTGTCTTAAAAAAATCAGAATGGAGGAAAAAGAAATATTCCCACATGCAAAAAATTATGTGAGATACCATAGGATCATCTTTGAGAATTTGTCACAACAATATTTCTTCTCTGCAAATTCGCATATATGACCCTACATTATCTCATTTGATCCTGGATAATTTTTGGGATGCAGCAATTAGGCTCGCTCCAGGTGGAATATATTAATGAATGCAATATAAAATAATCACCTGTTTAAAACAATTCCTGTGTTCTCATCTGTGAACCTTTGTACATCATCCTCAGTTTTAATAATCACTTGGTCAAAAGTTCCTGTAGCATCGTATTTATTATCCACACTCTTTTGCATAATTTCTTCCTCTTGCATTTCAAAAACTTGCTCATTGGATCCTTCAAAGCTCATGAAACTATGATCAATATTTGCTTTTGTATCATGAATATTGTAGGTTCTAGAACATTTTAGATAATGAATGAGCTTTTACACAGCCGATTGTGAAGATTTACCTATCTGAAACAGTGTCTGCTGTATCTGTATCAATACAATGGCCATACTCATCTTTAATAAATACATTGGCAATCTGATCGACTGCAAAAACCTTTTTATCGTCATTTTCCACCTCTATTTTTACTTTTTGTATCTCGAATACTTCCCCTTTCTCACTTTTAATAGCACGTTCGGGAGTTATTGTGTCTTCAAATTCCCTTCTATCCAAGTCATTGTCCGCATCTACTTTTTCTTCAAAAACCTCCTCAGTCTCTTTTTTAATCATAAGTTCTTGGGTCATTTGGGTAACTTGAAAATCTTTACAGTTCAAGAGATTTTCTGAACCAGTGTTTCTGTTTGTACTCATAACGGATCAAATCCTCAACCTCTTCACATCAAAAAAACTCGAAGCACCGAAACTGAAAAGCCAAAAAAGTGCCCAAGTATAACAAAATACTTTTTAGTTTGGTTCTAGTGAAGTATCTGTCGTGAACACAAAACAAAATACACTAATACACATAACACATATACACGGATCAGTCGTCAATGACACAGACAGCATAACCACAGAATTAGAGGTGTTGAAAATGTAACTATTCGTTACTCGAGTACTCGTTACTCATAGATATCTGAAGTAACGAGTATCAATCCGAGCACGAAATGATTACTTTGTTTTCCGTATCCGTACCCGGTTCGCGTACAATCGTTGAGTGGCGACGTTGGTTTGATTTGACTGTAGCACTGCCGCTCATGCATCAGGGTTGCCAGACATCCCAGATTCGGGTGGAAACCTAGAAACTAAATTTTTTTTTATTGGCGGACATAGAATTTGGTAATTGTTTTTAAATCTGAAGTTTATCTATTTACACCATGACTCAAATTCGCTTTTATTGTTGTGATCTAGGGAAGCTGAAAAAGAATAACGAGTCGATTGGACAAAGTTCGGCAGTATTATGAGTCAGAAAAGCGACAACAGGGTAACGGCACCGTTCACGGAAACTACAATTAATAAAAATATGTCAATTTGATTCGTGTTTACTTGTCCCGCATTTTGCTAAACATTTATAATTCAGTAGTATGTGTAGACTAAGTTCCACGTAGAATTTTTTGTACTGGTAGATGTTTAATTGAAATGCTTCGAAGAGTTACTTGTCATTCCGAGTTTCCTTAAGCCCATATACAGATCATCTTTCTAACTAAAAGACATGCTTTTTAAGCTTTTTTCTAATAAATCCAAAGTATTTCCAGTTTTTAGGCTCATATGAGTTCTGTGACACCCTACCCTGTAATAACCCATTCGTTTTCATAGCATTTGAAGATACGATGATTTAAATAAACTATGCTTGAAAACTTTTGCAAATTTTAAGGTTGTTTATTTTCTTACAAGAGTATAGTCCGTTCTATTGAACTTGTTCAAATTCGACATTAATTATACGTATATGATGTAGTATAATTGTCATCATTTTCTGATTCAATATTCATGTTCGAATTCAAAAACTGGGTCGAGCTCGTAAGGCCTACCAAGCAGAAACATGTATTTGTGTCTTAGAAATCGGGATTCCATAATTGTCTTGCTTCTGGACCTCTGCATAGACGAGGTCTACACTTTAGTACGTACAACACAAAAAGAGCCGTTTTTTTTTAATTTGACAGACCAATACTGACAAAAAGTTATACGAACGTGGTGGAAGAGGAAAAGGAAAGTCATAACAGATTAAGACAACTACTACGGAAAAGGTTTTATTAGGCATTATTAAAAACAAATGGTCATATAAAAATAGCATCTAATAATTAAGAAGAAAGATATCATACACAACCAATCATATTGATTTATATGCACAATACCTGGCATGCATTACATTTTACTAGAAACATCAGAATTAAAGTCTCAGCTTCTTGATATTTGCCCGCCTAATCTATTTTTCACGATATGTACTTCTTCACGTCAAAACCTGACAATAGTTGATTATCTGGTGGCGTTCAAATACCCCATATCAATAAGTGACACAACTCTCGGTGCATTTGTCAACGCCAGATCTATAGACAGAGTCGTAATTTGTTGTGGTTAACCGACACTTTCATCTGCAAAAGTTTCGACGCACAAAGAAAAAACGGTTCAAGCAATATGGGCTCTGTTGATGATCATGACTATATTTCGTCATGTCTGCAAAAAAATCAGGTGCTTGGTGTAAATAGTGCTGAATGCGGTCCTGAGTTTATTGCCAGCACGTACATAAACCCTATGTTACCAGTATCCATCACGCTTTGACGTCTATGAGGTGAACAGCTGATCAGCAAGTGACATTTTTGTATTAGTCTGTATCGTTGGCAGTAATGAATCGGGTATAAATCTAGAAAAAAATGGACTTTTCTAAATAAAAGAGTTGTTAGCAAGTACAAAATGAATCTGTAGCACACAAAAAAATAAATACGGCTGTCTACCTGGCGTTGACGGATCCGTCAGAATTATGTGCGCTTTGTCAATATAGGGAATTTTGAAATATTACTAAATAATCTGCTGTTAGTCGACCGTAATTGATACTCGTGAAAGAGACAATATCATTGATTAACGAATTTCACCAAAAGCGTTAATCGCTCACCTATTTTTGAATGTGAATACATTATTTTAGCTTACAGCTGCCTTCTTACCCAGCATGCTTCAGCATATGTTGGGTTAAGTACTTTTTCCTGGTGGTTTTATACGGACAATATGTGCATTCGTGTATTTTACTAGAAACCTTAGCAATAAAGTCAAAATGTTCCGTAACTGTATGATTGTCTAGATCTCTTTTGGTTTTAAATGGGGCATTACAGTGAACACACGTTTTAAGCTCGCAAGCTCCTTCTGCCCCAGGGTGTTTCAACATATGTTCAGTTAGCTGACTTTTTTGAGCAGTTTTAAATGCACAAAATTCACATTCATATATTTTACTTGAAACTGATGCGATATACTTGGGATGTTTCTTGATTATATGATCATCTAAACTTATCTTCTTTTTGAATGTTGCATTACAGTGAATACATGTTTCAAGCTGACAGCTTCCTTCTGCCTCTGGATGCCTCCCCATATGTTTACCTAAATGAAATTTTGAGGTGGTTTTGTATACACAATATTTACATTCATGTATTTTACTTGATACCGATGCTATATACTCTGGATGTTTCTTAATTATATGTTCATCTAAACTTATTTTATCTTTGAACATTGCATTACAGTGAATACATGTTTTTAGCTGACAGCCTCCTGCTCCCGGATGCTTCCTCATATGTTTAGATAAATGGCCTTTTGATGTGGTTTTAAATACACAATATTTACATTCATGTATTTTACTTGAAACTGATGCAATATGCTCAGGATGTATCTTAATTATATGATCATCTAAACTTAACTTAGTTATGAATGTCCTGTTACAGTAAATACACACACTGATCTTATAGCTGCTATTTGCACCAGGATGTTTCAACATATGCCTAGTAAACTTATCTTTGATGGTCGTTTTATAAGTGCAATGTGTGCATTCATGCATTTTACTTGAAACTGATTCAATATACTCAGGATGTTTTTTAATTCTATGATTATCTAAAGCTATTTTACGTTTAAATGTCGCATTACAGTCAATACACACAAAGAGTTTATCTTTTGCAGTGGTTGGTGAAGAGTCATCATGTTTTATAATCGTATGATCCTCTTTTTTAATGATGATTTCCTCAGTGATTCCTGCAATTCCACTGTTGTCAGAGTCCAAATCATTTTCTGACATGAATTCTTCAACAGCTTCACATTTTATCCAGGATTTAGTAAAGCCTTGCTCACTTGATATGCTACAACATGATAACATAAATTGCAGTCTCCTGGATGTATACATATTTGACTTTGAAGATGAGTGTGCAATTTCTATAATAGCTTTTATATTTGAAAAATAAGTAGAATGTTTAGCACCATGTATAACAAAAAGCATGATAAATCAAAAATCCACCAGAAGAATATACCATATACTGCAATCCAGTATCCAAAAATGGATCCAAAAGATACTAGAGCCATCTATTATAATATAACAGGCTATGGCTTGCTATCTTCAGAGAGAATATGTTAATCAATGACAATACTTAATACACATGCAGCACAAAATGCTACAAGAAAAACCTACTTCAATTTGATATAATTAATTTGATTTTCGATAATCCTTTAGAATACAAACTGGTGAAGTCTTAACATAAAATCTAAAAACATCATTTCTACGCATTAGTGAGGAAAGTAGAAATGTTAGCAAAAATTGGTGTATCTACTACATCACATAACTTCACATTTAAATTATAGCTGATGTTTTTCAGTTTCCTAAACCATGGAACGGAATATAAGTGGCTGCTACCAAAAATGTAATATCATAGAATACTCACCTTGTTGAAACATTTTCCATATTTTCATTTATAAACCCATATTCATCAATCTCATTTTTAATAATCAGTGGATCACAATTTTCTCTAACTTGGTATTTGCTATTATCTGTACCCTTTTGCAGCTCTATTTCGAGAACCCCGTCACTAGTTCCTTCAAATCTCATGGCAGTAGGATTAAAAGTGTCTGCGGTATCTGTATCAATAAAATGGTCAGCCTCATCTTTAATGAATACATGGGTGAATTGCGCGACTCCAAATTCCTTGCTATCCAAGTCATTTTCCACCTTTATTTTTTCTTTTTCCATCTCTGAAAGTATCTGTTTCTCAGTTATAATATCTTCATGGGTCACTTGAGTGACTTTAAATTCTTTACTATCCAAGTGAATTTCCGATTCTGTTTCTTTTTGGACGCTGGTAGCCAAACAAGTTTTCTTCAACCTCGGCCCTGAACAAATACGCCAGAAAAACAAAAATCATCTGACTGTATCTGACAGGCAAAACAATTATCTGACAGATAAGACAATAAATATAACCTCACTTTGTGACATCAATTTCCCCAGAGTTGCTAAATAATAGCCCCTCTTAAGGTGCATAGATCCATGACTGACGGTAAAAATGCATTAAATCGACCTCAAATTGTTAGTTAGCTACACAAAAAAATGCAACAAAAAATGAGACTGCAAGTAGATAACAAAAATTGTGTTAATTTTGTATTAGTTTTCCGATTTCTCGTTACGTAACGCATAAGTGGTTATAGTTCAGTCAACAAGGTCTAACTTATTATTCTATTAAAAGGTAATTGAAAAAAATTTGCACATCAAAATTTGAGACATCCAAACTGTCCTATACAAAAGTTTCCAATTTCGGGATAAAAATTCGTTTCTTGGGGAACTCAAAGGAGCTGGAAACTAATAAATACCTAGTAGTTTATCGATTTTTAGCAAAAAATTCATTTAATTCTTTTAATATTGCGTTAGGGATTAATTTAAGAAAGCCTACTTGGATTCCTAAAATCTATGTATTGTGAAAAAAGTCCAAATACCAATATTTATTTGTTAATCCGATATTTTTAGGGGAAAAATAATATTTGTCGAGACAATTGAAATAATACAAATATTTAAGGAACACATACTTACCCGACAGTCAAGTAGTTTACTTCTTCGCATTTTCTTAATGTTGTTCTGTGAAATTTTGTTAGCAAAGCTCAAATTTGGATTTACCGACCCAAAAAACATTTACAATGAGAAAATTGAAAGTTACCCCGAAAAACACATGATTATCATTAAGTGTACCAATTCCTACTCAGATGAGGTACGTAATGGGTAAATAACATGGAACGTTTCTCGCACACATTAAAAGCCCCGACCGAAAAAGTAATCAATTTCACTGTACACAAAGATGATATATACAATACACAGAGATGTAGGTATAGAATAAAAAAACAGATATGGCACCAAGTCGTAACATAGTTATATTCATCAACCAATAAAAACAATTTCTTTCCAGAAAATCCTTGGTTCATTCTTTAAATTGCATATGTGTTTTCCAGGTCAGGAATTATATAAATTAAAATCTAGAGAGTCCTTTTGATGCAATATGTTCAGTTTTTTTTTCAATTATATTATCCAAATCTATATTAACTTTGAATGTTATATTATGCAGTGAATACACACTCAAACAGTTTACAACTTTCATCTGCCACAGGATAATAATAATCATAATAAAAAATATAAAGAGAAAAACAAAAATGAAAAAATAACAAATTCCTGCAAAAGTTACTAGTAAACAGACAATCTGATCAAAGTACTAGCGCCACAAACAAAATAACAAGAGGAGTTCTTAACCAAATTGTATGTGTTAAAATTAAAAATGATAATTACAAGCGTCAAAAAAGAAATCTATAAAGAAATTATATAAAAAAATATAATTTAACGAAAAAGTTCATATCATTTTAGGCAGATTTAACAAAAAAACATATTCATACATTTACATGTTCATATATACATTTAAAACATATTAAAAGGAAGGGAACAATATAAAGTACAGGGTCCGTCAGAAAGAACGCATGTTTTTTAAATGAGTCAGTACAGTCAAAATAAGAATGGGAAAAGATATTTGATTCTATCAAAATACTTAGAAAAACATGCTATTTTTGGAGTAAAACAAAATTCCGAGGCTTGCTTTGGTAAACTTTTTATTTCAGGTAGCCCCATAAAAAAAATTACACGGTGACAGGTCCGGGGAGCGAGGGGGCCATGGAATATCGCCATGACGTGAAATCAGACGTTCTGGGAATTTTTGCCGAAGAAGTTCCACCGAAATGTGAGCTGTGCGAGATGTTGCCCCGTCTTGTTGGAACCACACTGTTCTGAGACGGATACATCGACGTCGAAGTTCCGGAAAAAAAAGTTGTTCAGCATGTGGATGTAATGCTCTGAATTCACAGTAGTTGTTTCTCCATCATCCTCAAAAAAATAAGGGCCAATAATCATCGTTGGGCCTACTGAACACCAAACTGTAACTTTCGGGGTAAGCAGGGGGTGCTCGTGCAACTGTTGGGGGTTCACTGGATACCAATATAGACAATTTTGGTTATTGACGTATCCATGTAAATGAAAATGTGCTTCATCACACATAAGCAACGTCATGTCGTTGTTATCTAACTGTTCAATCATGAGCTGTGTAAAATTGACACGTGCATAATCCCTGGGTAACAAATGTTGACAAACTTGGATTTTGTAAGGATGGATCACTAATTCCTTCTTCAAGATGCGACGTACATAGAACGCGTGGATCCCTATAGAGAACTGGCACGCAAACGGACAGAACGATTCAGGCTTTGCAGCGTGTCAACTCTCACTCTGTCTACATTTTCGGGAGTTCTAACAGTCCGCCATTTTGAAAGTACCGACGTACAGTGAACACACGATGCTCAACGTTCCAAACCATCTTGACAACCGAAACGGCACTTCTCCCACTATCCAGCACGTCCTTCCCCACCGACACGGGACCAGCCCACTCGATAAACATGCGTCCTTTCTGACGGACCCTGCACAATTCATGTAATAGAATTTTTCTGTAACTTCTATTGAAAGCTGACGCAGACATAGACTTGAGGTTGTTGGGGACGTGATAGATAAAATGAGAAGAAGATCTATTAAACATAGATGTACGATGACGTGGTTAAGAAATCAGCTTCTGTGACCGAACATTGATATTCTGAACATCAGTTAATGTAAACTTATTCTAGAAATAAGGCGGAGTTTTATATGGAATAATTTTTTGAAACATAACTGCAGAATGCCGATTTGTCCTTGCTGGAATATTTAGCCATCTTTCTACATTTATTGCGTCAACTTATTTTTTGCAGTGTTTGTTCGTTCATGTTTTACTAGAAACTGACGTTATAGAGCCATCATCATCATCATCATTTTTAATAATGTATTCCTCAGTGATTATTGTAATTCCACAGTTTTCAGTATCCAAATCGTTTTCTAACTTCACTTTTTCTACAGGATGCTCCAACATATGCTTAGAAAAATCATTTTTAGGTTCACAGTCACCTTCTGGATGGCTTCCCATAAGTATAGCTAGCCGATTTTTCAAGGTGGCTTTGAATAAACAATGTTCCTGTGGTGCAATATGCTCAGGATGATTCTTAATTATATGATTATCCAGAGTTGTCTTATCTTTGAATCTAGCATTACAGTGAATACATGTTACAAGCGGACAGCCACCTTCTGCCCCTGGCTGCTCCCTCAAATGCCTACGTAATATATCTTTTGAGATAGTTTTAAATTTGCAATGTTTACACTCATGTATTTTATTTGAAACCAATGCAATATACTCAGGGTGATTCTTAATCATATGATCATGCATATTCTCAGGATGTTGATTAAATATATGATTACTTAAAGTTCTCTTACTTCTGAATGTGAGATTACAGTGAATACATACATTGAGCTTACCATCTACACGAGAATGATTGAGCATATGCCTAGTAAGTTCTATATTTCTAATAGTTTTATAAGTGCAATGTGTGCATTCATGTATTTTACTTGAAACTGATGCAATACATTCAGGATGTTTTTTAATTACGTGATTATCTAAACCTCTCTTACTTTTCAATGTCATATTGCAGTGAACACACACAAGGGGTTTACAACTTTCATTTGTCACAGGATATGTCAACACTTGTTTTGTCAACTTATATTTTGCAGTACTTTGTCCATATTCACTTGTTTCACTGGAAATTGAAGCATTTTTAATGATATACTGCTCAGTTATTCCAATTCCACTGGTGTCAGCATCCAAATCGTTTTCTAACTTCACTTCTTTTACTGAATGATTCAACATGTGCTCAGAAAATTCTCTGTTGATGGTAGTTTTGTAAATGCAACTATTGCATTCATATATATTTTTTGAAACGGATGCAATAAACTCAGGATGTTTCTCAATTATATGATTATCCAGAGTTGCATTATGTTCGAATGTAGCATTACAGTGAATACATGTTTTAAGGTCACCGTCTGCCGCTTCGTGCTTGCGAATATGTCTATCTAAGTCACGCTTTGACGTGGTTTTAAATACGCAATAGTTACATCCATGTATTTTACTTGAAACTGATGCAATATACTCAGGATGTTTCTTAATTGTATGATCGTCCAAACTTTTCTTACCGGTGAATGTTGCGTTACAGTGAATACACGTTTTACGTTCACAGCCACCTTCTACTCCTGGATGCTTTCCCATATGTATAGCTAAACGATCTTTTAAGGTGGTTTTGAATGAACAATATTTGCATTCATGTATTTTACTTGAAACTGATTCAATATACTCGGAATGTTTCTCAATTATATGGTTATCCAAAGTTGTCTTATTTTTGAATTTAGCATTACAGTGAATACATGCTTTAAGCTCACAGCTACGTTCTGCCCCTGGATGCTTCCCCATATGGTTTCGTAATTTACTTTTTGACATAGTTTTAAATTTGCAATGTTTACACTCATGTACTTTACTTGAAACCAATCCAACATAATCAGGATGGTTCTTGACTATATGATTATCTAACAAACTCTTGATGGTGGTTTTATAAGTGCAGTGAGTACATTCAAGTATGTTGTTTGAAACTGATGCAATATACTCAGGATGTTTCTTAAGTATATGGTCATTTAAAGTTCTCTCACTGCTGAATGAGGCGTCACAGTGAATACATACACTGAGCTTACCATCTACACCAGAATGATTGAGCATATGCCTAGTAAGTTCCTTTTTGATAGTACTTTTATAAGTGCAATATGTGCAATCATGTATCTTACTTGAAACTGATCCAATATGTTCAGGATGTTTTTTTATTATATGATTATCTAAACCTATCTTAATTTTGAATGTAGCGTTACAGTGAATACATGCTTTAAGCTCACAGCTACTTTCTTCCCCTGGATGCTTACCCATATGCTTACATAACTTACTTTTTGAGTTGGTTTTAAATGTGCAATGTTTACACTCGTGTATTTTATTTGAAACTAATGCCATATATTCAGGATGATTCTTGATGATATGATTATCTAACCCACTTTTGATTGTGGTTTTATAAGCACAACGTTTACATTCATGTAGTTTACTTGAAATTAATGCAGTATGTTCAGGATGTTTTTTTATCATATGATTATCTAAGCCTATCTTAAATTTGAATGTATTTTTACAGTAAATACACATAAAGAGTTTATAACTTTCACCTGAAACAGTATATTTCAACCTTTGTTGTGTCAACTTATTTTTTGCAGAAATTTGTGTCCTTTTATGTGATTTACTAGACACTGAATCAATAGAGCCAGCATCATCATCATGCTCATTCTTAATAATGTATTCTTCATTAATACTTGTAATTCCACTGGTGTCAATGTCCGAATCGTTTTCTACCTTCACTTCGTCTGTAGCTTCACATTTTATCAAGGGTTCAGTAGGATCGCGCCTATTTGCTGTACTAGAACTGGATAATACAAACTGCACTTAGAACTTATATTCTGACCAAATAAAACCACCAAAGGTGGGGTGAAAAGTTTCCGGCCTGCTCAAGAAAAATATGACGGGGAGCAGTCTCCTAGTGTTGTATCCATCTCTTCTTTTATTTGTTTTGGTGTAAAAGCTTTCAAATAGAAGTATTTGATGACAGCACGTTTATCCAATTTTTCCATTTTTACATAAACAAAGGACGCGTCTCGCGCAATGTGCTCTCAAACTAACGTAGCGATCGGGCTGGAACTGTACATACAAGCTTGGTAGGAATGGTTCTATAGGACGCCAGTCCAAAAGTAGACCCAGTGACGCCATCTCTTGGTCAGGCCGGAAACTTTTCACCCCACCCTGGTATTATCCACTTTTTACTGACTTTTTGGTGATCATGCTGGCCTTTCAAAAAGTACAACATAATGATGGAAATGTCAGTAAAAAGTAATTAATATTTATGTGGATTCATTTGTTTCCAGATCATGGGGTTCTATCAACATGAAAATCTCAGGATAATACAATAAACTGAATGCAAGTATCTTTGACAAATTTGGAGATGTATGTAAACTAAAATTGATTCAGGCAGATAACTTTCAAGCCTAAACAATAGTAGGATATGTATCACCATGTATGAAAGAAGTTAAAGAATATGATAAGCTAAAACATGTGGAATGGACATTTTTAAAGATGCTCAAGTGCATCAAGCCTGCAGTTTTGAACTGCCAAAGGTAGAAGGACAGTTAGTAGAGAATGACATTTTAGCAGTTGCATCACATAACTTCACAATCTGATGGTCTGGTGATTCCTAAAGAGAATATAAGTGGCTGCTACCCAAAATGTAATATCAAAAAATTCACCTAGTTAGAACACTTTCTGCGTTTGGATTCATGAGCCTATATTCAGTATTCTCATTGTTAATAATTATTTGGTCACAATTTTCTGTAACTTGGTGTTTGTTATTATCTGTATCCCGATGCAACTCTTTTATGACAGTAGAATCAAAATTTGCCATTGTCTCACATGCATTATAGATTCTGAAAGATAGAATAATGTATTTCAATTTTTACAAAGACTGATTAGGGAGACTCGCCTATCTGGAACAATGTCACCTGTATTACTAAATTGGTCACTCTCGTATTTAATAAATTCCTGGTTTATTTGAGTGCCTTCAAATTCCATACTAAGGAACTCTTCTTCAACCTTTATTTTTTCGTTTTGCATTCCTAAAGCTCGCTTTTCCTCACTTTTAATAAGAAGTTCATGGGTCAGTTGGGCTAATTCGAATCCTTTACCATCCAAGATTCTATTTTTGTCTTCTTTACAAGTACATACACCCAAATTCACCGCAAAAACAAACACCATCCAACAACAAACCTAACCTCATGTTGTTGTTTGAAATAGTGGTGTTGAAAAAGTAACTATTCGTAACTCGAGTACCCGTTACTCATAGATACCCTAAGTAACGAGTACCAATCCGAGCACGAAATGATTACTACCGTACCCGCACAATCGTTGAGTGACATCGCTGGTTTCACTGTAGCAATGCCGCTCATGTATCAGGGTTGCCAGACATCCCACATACGGGTGGAAACATGGAAACTCCAGATTTAAAAACAATTATCAAATTCTATGTCCGCCAATCAAAAAAAAAATAAGTTTACCTATTTACACCGTGAGTCAAATTCGCTTTTATTGTTATGAACATGGAAACCTGAAAAGGAATAAGAAGTCGATTGCATTGGAGCAAATTTCGGCAATATTATGAGGCAGAAAAGTGACAACAAGGTAACAGCACCGTTCAGGAAAACCACAATAATAAAAATTATGTCAGTTTAACTTGAGTTAACTTGTACTGTTTTGCTAAAAAAATATAATTCAGTATGACCACCAATGGTATGTGTAGACTAAGCTCCACGTAGAATTTTTTATACTGGTATACGCTTAATTGAAATGCTACGAAAAGTTACTTGCCAAGACATGCTTTTTAAGCATTTCCAGTAAATACAAAGTATTTTCAGTTTGTAAACCCATACCCATATGAGTCATATGACACTATCCTATAATAACCCATCGCGAAAAACATAAAATTTGAAGATACGATGTTCGCATTAAACGCGGCAGATTTGAATAAACTTTGCTTGAAACATTTTGCAAATTTTTAGGTTGTCTATTTTTTTAAAAGATTCTGGTCCATTGAACTTGTTTAAATTCGACATTAATTACACGACGCACGTTGCCAAGTCGTTATACTCAGTAATCAAAGTAACGAGTACTCGAAAGTAACGAGAATCAACACCATTAGTTGAAACTTGTCAAATTTCGGCAGTGTTGCCAAATTATAGCCATCTTGCATGCAGGGACATCCAAAGAGTGACGGTAAAGCCGCGTACAGACCGAAAAATCGATCGCCGAGCAAGCGAATGCAAGCACATGAGCCTCCTACAATTGTAGGAACGACTGACGATACGGCCCTAAGTGACAACTAAAAATGGAGTGATGGATTGTCAGCACTTCCGATGTTAAGTAGTGGTAAACTGGTTCAAGTTTATAAAATAAAGTTAATCGTAAAACATCTAGTGTCTCAATGAGAAATATATAAGTTAACAAATCGAAAATATAACAACACCTAAATTTAGTCAAGCGACGAGTCTCCTCTCATCCAATGCAAACGACTAAATACTAGAAGCGCAGCAAATCCTGTCCAGACCAAATCAAACCTCCCTTTGTAATGTACCGATCAATGAGCGAACACCTCCGCCGTACACACCGATTCGAACACCTCCAAATCTGTAACGATATGTGCCCTGGCTTGTGTTGGACTCTCGGTCTGTACGCGGCTTAAAAGTACTGTAATCCGAACTCAAATTGTCAGCACAAAAAATAGTAGAAATACAACATAAAGTCAAACTTCGTGTAAACAACAAAAAGTCATCTAGATGCTTATAACTAGCAAAAATTTTCTCTTACGATTTCTCGTTACGTAACGCACAAGTGCGCTGAATACTCCAGTGTTAGGAACAATTTGGACGAAAATGAAATAAAAAGTGTAATTACGAATTTTGTGTTAAAGACAAAAACCAATGCTTTTGTAGGTGATCGTATGTGTTGTTAACTTTCCGCCTAAAACAAATGCTTATAGATATTGATGTAATGTTATAAAAAAAAATTGTGACGGATAGCGCCATCTGTTGGGCGAGTCTCCTACTCGCCAGAGCCTAAATGCCGATCTCTGCTTTTACGCGAACCATGGCGCACAAGCCGCCTGGCGGCGTCTGTGAGGACCGTGACAGTGGATCGACGCGAAGTGATATCCCACATTCTAGATGTCACTTTGTGCTACACTCGGTTTTTTCTCGAAGCTGTAATGGGGACTATATATAACTCGGCGGCCGGGAGATGAAGGCAGAGTACGGAATACGATGGAATATTAATCAAAAAGGCGCTACTTTCCCAGTACACGGACGAGTTGGCCGGCTAATGTCCAGTCTGACGGCAATTCATTGGTTAGTTTGAGACAGAACCGTATTTAAAAATTTATGATAGTAGAATAGAAATTTCAAATCAGTTGTCATTAAGGTTTTGAGGAAATGAAATTAAACACACTAAAGTCCTTTTAATATAGATATTTCTATCAAAAATACATACGAACTACATAAAAATGAACAAGAAACTCAATTCTTTCTTTAATCCGATCCTTTGAACTACCATACTGTTTGCAAATTTCAAGCAAATTCCCAATATTTCTCACAGTTTCGACTGTCTCTTCGAATGATGGCCACTAAAAATGACGGTGTTTCGATAAAAAACAAGTTGAATTATTTATACTATGTGTGTAGAATTATACGCACAACACTCATTCTGTAAAATCAATTATTATTTTGTTGAAAAAATACATTTTGATGTCTGGTAAATTTGTGTAAATGATTGATTCAATCACCTGTAGTTTAATAGAATGCTTATATGCATTATACTTTACCAGATACCTCACCAATAAAGTCTGGATGTTTCTTGATTATATGCCTATCTAACATTTGCTTATTTCTAAATGTTGTGTTACAGTGAATACAAATGTTGAACCCACAACTGTCAGCCGCCTCTGGGTGCTTCAACATATGTTGGTCAAACCGACTCTTCCGAGTAGTTTTATATGTGCAATATATACATTCATGTACTTTACTAGAGACCTCAGCAATAAAGCCAGGATGTTCCATAATTGTATGATCATCTAGATCTCTTTTGATTTTAAACGTAGCATTACAGTGTATACACGTCTTAAACTCATAGCCACCTCCCGCCCCTGCGTGTTTCTGCATATGTTGAGAAAAATTACCTATCAAGGTGGTTTTGTATCTACAATGTGCACATTCGTGTATTTTACTAGAAAATTCTGTAGCAAATTCGGGGTGTTTCTTAATTATATGATCGTCTAACGTTCTTTTATAGTTGAATGTAGCTTTACAGTGAATACAGGTTATCCTGTTAGAGTGAACACGTGTTTTAAGTTTAGAGCCAGAGTCTGCTCGTGGATGCTTCCCCATATGTCTGGCTAAACATGCCGTAGAGGTGGTTTTAAACATGCAATGTTTACATTCATGTATTTTACTTGAAACCAATGAAATATTCTCAGGATGATTCTTAATTATATGATTATCCAACTCCCTTTTGATGACAGTTTTATAAGTGCAATGTGTGCATTCAAGTATTTTCCTTGACACCAATGCAATATACTCAGGATGTTTCTTAAATATATGATTATTTAAAACTAGCTTACTTCTGAATGTGCTGTTACAGTGAATACACACACTAAACTTATAGCGACTATCTGCGTCAGGATGTTTCGACATGTGTTTACTAATTTGACTTTTGAATGTACTTTTATAAGCGCAATGCGTACATTCATGTATTTTTCTTGAAACCGATGCAATATGTTCCGGATGTTTCTTAACTATATGATTATCTAAACATATCTTAATTTTGAACGTCATATCACAGTGAATACACATAAAGTTTTTACAGCTTTCATCTACCACAGGATTTTTCAACAGTTGTTTGGTCAACTGATCTTTTGCACTAGGTCGTGTACGTTCATTTGTTTGTCAAGACACTGAAGCAATAGAGCCAGGATCATCATCATTGTCATTTTTAATAATGCATTCCTCAGTAATTCTTGTAATTCCACAGGTATCAGTGTCCGAATCGTTTTCTACCTTCACTTCGTCTGTAGCTTCACATTTTATCAAGGGTTCAGTACGATCGCTCCTGTTCGCTGTGCTACAACTGGATAATACAAGCACTTAGAACTCCATTATTTATCTGGTAAAATGAAACCACATTTGTATTACCACCATGGTCCTTTAAGGATGCTAAATGTCAGTAAAAAGTAAGTAATACATACGTAGTTTCATTTGTTTACAGAAGATCATAGGCGCGAATTACACTGAAAAGGCGTAAGGTGAAGGCGCGGCGCAGACGCAGAGCAGGCGTGGCACAGATGCGATTTAAATTATATCAAAGAGGCGAAGAGATGGCACAACAAGTCATTACATAGGGTGACTTTATCGTGATAGCATGTCTTCCTCTTCAGACGACGAAGATGCGTTGGCTTTGCTGCAACTCATTAATGTGCAGAGACACCGAAGATATTGGGTGCACCCTGTGTGGAGAATGTCACAAGAGCATAGATATTTTAAAATGATGGAAAAATTATGCGAATATCCTGATCGTTTTCCTACAGTGTATAAAATGTCACTAGAATGTTTCCACATTGTATTGTCGAAAGTGAGACACGGTCTTCAGAAGAAGCATACAAATTGGAGAGAACCGATCTGTCCTGAAGAAAGACTATTGATAACATTAAGGTTAGTAAAACATCTTTGGCATTTTTATATACTTTTATTTGTTTGATGTTTGAGTAGAAAACTGGACTAAGATTTGACAATCAGGAGGACTTGTTTGCTATCTATCAATACCAGAGATCGGAATTGGGTGTGTGAAAGAAAATACCTAAAGTTTTCAGCAGGGCATAACATGGAGTACAACCACTTAATTTGAACCGGTTTTGAATATTACCAGTTCAGTTTCGGTTTTTTTGTTTTACATGTTCCTTAACTTTGAAACACCCAACTATAAACTAAACTATGTAAAGAACGAGTAGAACTAAAAAACCGAATTTGAACCGGAAAAGTTCAAAACCAAAATTATTTTAAAACTGTATTAGCGGGAAGATGTAAAACAAAAAAGCTGAAACTGAACCGGTAAAATTCAAAACTGGTTCAACTTAAGTGGTTGTAACAGTTCCATATTATGTCCAGCTGCAAAGTTTAGGTATTTTCACACACCCAATTCCGATCTCTGATCATTACCGCAAAAATTAATAATTGGAATCATTCACATCACCATCGTGAGGTTGACTTTCTGCTTCAATTCTTTGGTGTGACGGAGGTGAAAACGAAGTAACTGGAGAAAACAATGGCAAATAAATTTGAGTCCCAGCTCGCTGAGGTGACCGACCTCTGTAAGCACCACTTGTTTGCATCTGCTGAAGTGTTGGATCTCCATATGCGCCAGTCGTTTGTGTCTGCTGAAGTGTCGGCTGTATCTGCTGAAGTGTCGGCTGTGTCTGCTGAAGTGTCAGACCTCCGTATCCGCTAGTTGTATGTGTCTGCTGAAGTGTCAGACCTCCATATGCGTCAGACGTATGTGTCTGCTGAGGTGATTGATTTCCATAAGATCCCGTTGGACTTCCATAAGATCCCACATTTGCAGGTGAATTATACTCTGACTCCCGTGATGGAGTTCTTTGGTAAGGAGTTATACTTCTCGGACATGAAATACGACTAGTGATTGGCTCTTTTAGAATTTGTTCAATTAAATTAAGTACGCCCAATTTCAATTTTCGTTTTTGGTCTTGATTCATTGTTTGCACATCTGGCATCATGCTGCGGAAAAAGGCCATGTCGGCGTCTGAATCGTCCTTATTTTTTACTTTTGTTCCTTCGTCCATATTTTGTTGTCGTGCAATTATTTGTTTATTTTTTAGGGTGAAGTATTCGTGCGCTGTCTTATTAACATCACTTATACGAATCTGTTTATTTTTTGGTGGCGGCTGTGTATGTTGTGGCGTGATAAAATCAGTCGCCTGCCGTTCACCTGCAGGTGAGCCAGCAGACATGCATGTCAAATCGTCTTCATCTTCGATTCGGTCTGCATCGTTCCCCAAATTGCCTTTAGAGGGTCGGGATTTTAAAAAACTGTCTAGGAAACGCAAGTTTGGTGCAAGGTAGTACTCTTTAGGTGTTTTCGCAGCAGATCCAGATGGAGCACTCATGTTTCTCTTATTCTTTGAGTAACTACATCTGATGTTCTTCCATCGGTCTTTGCAGTCTTTAGCTGAAACAAAAACCAATAATTTTATTCGATGATATAATACCTATTGTTGTTTTGTATAACAACTTCGACTGGGCGCTTTCTACTCATCAATACGAACAACTTTTACTATGGGAGCAGCTTAAAAATCTTTGAAAAAAACAGCTGTTCTATATACATTTTGTTCAGTAGGTATCAAATTTTAGCATGGAACAGCTGTTTTTCTAAGATTTTTCAGTTGGTCCCATAGTAAAAGTTGTTCGTATTGAAGAGTAGAAAGCACCCTGAGTTGGGTGCTGTTTTACAAATCAACACACAGTAAATTAAATTATTATTTGTAAATGAATAGATGTATCTATCTATATACTATTATTTTTAACATCCGACGCATGAAAGGGATGGATGATGGATGTGATGTAAGAAAGTGTCACCAGACAATTACATGAATACAATACTGTCGTGTGCGAAAGGGCTTAAGTTTCATTTTTGGTCAAGCGCGATTCAGTTTCGTGTACATATTATAACTATATTTTTTTGTTACAGATACTATGCAGATGGATGTTCGTTTAAATCGCTTTCTACATATGTTCAGAGAGGCAGCACTACCGTTCAAAAAATCGTACAAGAAACTTCACGTGTACTGTGGGAATATTTACAGCCGGAATATATGCCAATACCTACAACACAAAAATGGCTTGAAGTTGCTCAACGTTTTTACACTTTATGGAATTTACCAAATTGCGTAGGAAGTATAGACGGAAAGCATATAAGAATTAAAGCACCCAAAAATTCTCGCTCAGCTTACATAAACTATAAAGGATATTTCTCTATCGTATTGATGGCAGTAGTAGATGCTGATGGCCTGTTTTTAACTATAGACGTCGGCGAATATGGCCGAAACAGTGACGGGCGTGCATTCCAAGTTAGTTACTTTGGGCAAGCTATGGAACAAGGAAACCTCAATTTACCACACCCTACTCCATTGCCTGGAGAAACGAATATGGTGCCCTATTATTTTATTGCTGATGAAGCTTTTCCTCTGAAGAAAAACTTAATGAAACCGTATGGCCGAAATCAGTTAACAAATGAGAGAAGAGCATTTAATAACAGATTGTCAAGGGCACGAAAATCAGTGGAATGTGCCTTTGGTATGATAAGGACTAAATTTAGCGTCCTTAGCACATCTGTTTGCTGCGATCCAGAAAATGTCGATAGCATTATAAAAGCTATGAGCGTTTTGCATAATGTTATCCGCAAATATGATGGGAAACTCGTGGTTCCACGTTTTAATAACAGTTTAATAGGAACAAACATCAACGTGCAACAAACAAGGGAAGATCCTAAAATCATCAGAGAATATCTTACAACATACATGACAACTCGATCTCCGATTCCATTTCAAAATAGACATAATTAATAAATAAAAATAAAGTACTTACCTGTTGCACCTAGTTTTAATCCTATTTCTCTCCATATTTTGTCTTGTATATTTTTATTAGAGTACTCCGGCTTATTATAATCGTAAAGAGCTGGATATTGTTCAACTATCTCGCAGAACTGTAAGTTAAATTCACTATCGTCACGCATTTTTGCTCCTCCTGTATAACAAACGACGTATTGCTTGCGCAGCACTCCAGTCGCGACTGCTAGCGACGCGGAACAGGTGACGAAACGACGTGCCTGCGCCACGCCGCTTGAGTATAATTCACAACGTGTCGCCTACCTACATTTTGTATTGAAAACCTTTGAAGCGCCAAGATGCCTGCGCCGCGCCTTCACCTTACGCCTTTTCAGTGTAATTCGCGCCATAGACTTTTATCAATATGAAAACCACATGATAAGTTTCAGGTCTATCGAAATAAGATTGCACAAAGTGCCATCTATTACCAGAATTGACCACTGCGAAAGTGAAAACATCAAGCTGTCTGTTGGAATTGTATACCAGTTCGCATTGTCAGCCGGGTCACCATTGTGACCGCTAGATGACGCCGATTCTGGTCGTAGAGTATATATACGAGGGTTGTTTCAAAAATAGGACATCCATAGGCACAAGGATTTTTTTATTTGACAAAATGAATTCACCGTTGATCTTTAAGCTATTTTCCTCCATATTCGCCATTTTTTGTTAGACGTGAAATCCGCCTAGCATCACACGCGGCGTTGGGAACCATATTTTTGAGACAACCCTCGTAGTCAACTCGCCATTGGCCAACCTCGTAATATAGCTTTTGTTCCTCGGACCAACTCTTCAGGATGGAATAGGTTTGGTCTGGTTCGCAGTCTGTGGTCGGACGAACGAAGGCTATATAGTGGATACCAAATAAAACCCGATGCACGTCATCGATCTGGAGCTGTGCGCTGTTGCCAGAATTTGCACATTTTCTTTTAAGCAAATAAATTTAATAAAATAAATTGTTTATATATACCTACCATTTACTATAATACCATTATATTAAAAATAAATAAACTTGTTGTAAAATTAAATTCCTTTCTGAATAAAAACATCTGATTTTGGTAGATATTCAATGATATGAGCTCTTTACACCGACTGTTAAGTTGTTTTGGCATTTTGGATACTTTACACCACTTCACAGTAACTGTTGTTTTGAAAAGAACAATTTTAAATTGGCAAGGCAAAGCTCAAATAGCGCAAAACTCAAACTAAATAATAAAGAACTAATAGTACGACAAAAGGACAATGGCAACTGATGTCAACAAATGAGAAGTGGCAACCTCACATTTCTCTGCACGGCACTACCAACCGAATCGAGACGGGGAAATTTAAACTTCAAGTAGAAATGTCACATTGAATGTAGTCAACTGTTGGTAACCATGATTTTTATGAATGACATCACCTATGACGTGCATCGGATTTTATTTGGTATCCACTATATTGCTATAGTGGATACCAAATAAAACCCGGTGCACGTCATCGATCTGGAGCTGTGCGCTGTTGCCAGAATTGATATGAGCTCTTTACACCGACTGTTAAGTTGTTTTGGCATTTTGGATACTTTATACCACTTCACAGTAACTTTTGTTCTGAAAAGAACAACTTTTAATTGGCAAGGCAACGATTCAAAGCTCAAATAGCGCAAAACTCACAAACTAAACAATAAAGAACTAATAGTACGACAAAAGGACAATGGCAACTGATGTCAACAAATGAGAAGTGGCAACCTCACATTTCTCTGCACGGCACTACCAACCGAATCGAGACGGGGAAATTTAAACTTCAAGTAGAAATGTCACATTGAATGTAGTCAACTGTTGGTAACCATGATTTTTATGAATGACATCACCTATGACGTGCATCGGATTTTATTTGGTATCCACTATATTGCTAGTAAGTTTCAGGTGTCACAATGGACTGAACGTAAACATATTTGACAAATTTGAAGAATTACCTATGCGCAATAGAGTCTCCATCTACGAATCGGCCATCCTCGTCTTTAATAAGCCCATGGGTTATTTCAGTGGCTTTAGATTCTTTACTGTTCAAATTATTTTCGACCTTAATTTTTTTACCAGGATGTTTCAGCGTATGTCGATCAAAATTATATTCACTTGTTGTTCTGTATGCACAGCGCATACATGCATATATTTTACTAGACACCTCAGTAATAAAGTCAGGATGCTTCTTAATTATATGCCCGTCTAGCCT